ATACTACATATGTATCTATGTATTCTATAAATTCCATCATGTTAAACTAATTATTTATTATTCAAATCAAGTCTACTCAATAATTTATTATCATATTATGAATTAATATTTTAATAATAATTATTATTATTCTGATAGATATAATGTTTAATGATTATGAAAAAAAGAGATCAGCTCTAACAGTATCCACAGCTTCAATAGATGCTAATTCTGATGAATTAAAAAGAATTGAAAATAAAATTGATATCTAACCTATGAAAGGATGGATGAAGAAGAAAAGCCCTGCTATCTTAAAAAGTTGGTAAAAGCGTTATTTCATGCTTGTTGAAAACTCATAGGAAGGATTGTGGAAATTAGTTTATTTTGATAATGATGTAATAAATATAATCTTAATTTAGAAAACTGATACTAAACCTAATGGTGCATTTGATTTATCAAACATTACATCCATAAATTAAATCTCCAAAAAAGAATTCACAATTTTATTTCCAGGTCGAAATTTAGAATTAAAAGTAAAAACTCCAGAATTGTGTCAATAATGGATTACCACTCTAAATAGTCTTCGTACAAGTACATCACCTTAAAGAACAAAAAGATAAGTCAGTATGGATTCAGTCGTTAAGATGGCAGATGAAAGTCCAACTAAGAGTTAACATTTTTCTTATTTTGTAGTCTCAAACCATAAGATTGTTGATACCTATACAGCTCAATAGGCTTAAGTGTATAAAGAGAGGCATCGTAATTCTTTACTCATAGACTTATCCAAAGAAGATAAGAAAATCAAAGAAAAATAGAATGAAGTGTAATTGTCAAATGATAAGATGATAGAGTTAGTTGGGCTAAAAGAATTTATTAAAAATATGAATGAGTAATTTATTTATCAACGTATGATATATGGTTATTTGGGTAAGAGAAGTAAAGGAAAGGTTAAGTACTTTTAAAAACGTTGGTTTATTCTTGTATCAGCTAAACCTTTAGTAATATTTAAAATATAAAATTATAGTATTCTGATTATAATGATGAAAAGATTTTACATGAATCTTAATTACCTCCATGGCTAGAATTAGATACTATAACATATTTCAAATAAAATACTGATGGCAAACCTCCAAAAGCTAAAGGAGATGTTAAGATGTTAGATTGTTAAGAAATTATTATAAAAAATATGTCAAAATCAAAAGAAAGTGGTTATACTTTTAAATTAAATATGGGAGATAGATTATATCATTTAATGGCTGAATCTGAACTAGAACGCACTAAATGGTAATCAGCATTGAGTTAATCAATTAGAATAACAAAAGAAATTAATAATCCATTAAAAATAAAAATAAAAAAAAATATTGATCCTTTAATAGAATTATATGATGAAGAAACATAATTAATTACAAGAAGAGAGAAAATTAAATAGAAATTAGAATAAGATATAGGAGAAATATTGAAATAAGAAGATGTTGATCTAAATACCTTGATTACTTAATTGACAGATTTGAGATAGGATATGTTGGAATCAATGTAGGCAAGTATTGTTAAAGATCCTTAAAGAAAAGATATAGTAAAAGAATATACAGATATTTATCATGAGAAAATATGTGATAGAATTACTAATTTCTGGGATAAACATTATATGAAATTATAAGTAATTAGTTTATTAATATATAATGTCTAGTCTCCAGAATTGTTACTAATAGGATAATGGTTGTATGACTATTTGTAATAAATGAAAGATTTCTTTAATGATGATCGTATACTCTTAGGAATTAGAGTACTTCTTAATATATATGTCACTCGATCTCTTGAAAGTTTGGAATCGGTCATTTATTAAATCATTGAATAGGAACGAATTCAAGAACCATTCTTAAATGAATAAGAACAATTTGTTACATAAACTCCTGTTGATTTATTCAAAATTATTAATGAGGGTTTTGATATGGCATATAAATTGTGTTCTTGCAAAGAAACTGTGATAAGATTTGGAGGTTTTGGCAAAGTTATCCTGTAATAGTATTAAGGAGGTATACAAGAAATTATTGATGAACATTAACTTACTATATCAAAGCTTATTGCAATATGTAATAATACTTTAGCTTTACATGATAATACTAAATAATATTCAAAAAGACTTTAAACTTTTGGTAATTTAAGTGATGAAGAAATTGAAAAAGTATTTGATGGATAAAAAATCACTAAGAATTTTGTTTAGATTGCTAATAATTGTAGAGAAAGAATTTTTATAACTTATTTTAGTCGTGTTGGAACTCATTTTAAAAAGCCTTATCTAGAAATCAAAATTATTGATACTCTAAAATCCATAATAGAACCTGCAACAGAAGCATTATCATAATTACATGATAGTTTCAGTAGAAAACTTTGGAAATAACTTACTGATTCAATTATTCTCTATTATTTTAATTAGTTTATTATTTCCTGTAGTAAAGCTAAAAAGGAATAATAAAATGAATTCATAAGAAAATTACAAAATGATAAAGATATTTTATTTTAAGAATTAGAAACATTTATATTTGAAAAACAATTATAAGCAGCACTTAAACCTTTTGATGATATGATATCATTTTTAAATGAAGAATCTTTAAGTATTTTGGATTCATGTAAAAATCTTAGATAATATTTTGGAAGTGCATTTTCTGAAAAAACAATTAAATCTATTATGACACTGAGATTCGATTTAGACAAGGATCAAAAAAAAGATACTATTGAAATTTGTAAAAATTTAATTGATGATATCAATAAAACATAACCAATTGAAGATGATAGTGTTAGAATTATTGATTTTCTAGGTTAAGAAGATGATGAATAAAGTTCTACTTAAGAATAAAAATCACAATAAATATAAAGAAGAGCAGATATTCGATTAGATATTAATGATAATGAAATTTAATAAGTAAATATTTAATTAACAAAAAGATTTCTATACAATAACAATAAAGAAAATCAAATGAAAAAGAAGAATTTATAGATGAAGGTTATTTATATAAAAAGAAACCAAAATCAAAGGCTTGGGACTATAGATTTGTAAGAATTAGAAAAGGATTTATATATTGGTATATCAATTCTAATTCAAGAGAAGCTTAGAATAAAATCAATCTCTAAAATGTAGATGAAGTTATTCCAAATCCAAAAAAACCTACCAATTTTAAGATTTAATTAGAAGATTTAAAAATCTATAAATTTAAAACTTAAACAAAGGAAGAATGCGAATTGTGGATTAAAACTATAATAAAAGAACAAAATCAAACAGATGTTGCAATTATAACTTTAGAAGCTATTGTAAATAAATATTATATTTAGTAAATTGGTAATGGCAAAATGCCTATTATTAAAGATTATGATGAAATTGCAAGAAAGGAAAGATAAAGATAGAAATAAGAAGAAAGAAAAAGAAAAAGAATAGAAAAAGAAAATGAGTAATTATATTATTTTATCTAGATTAAAAAAAAGATAAATGGAATTGAAATTGCTTCAATAACAGTAATTAAAAGAATTAGGAGATAAACCATTACCTCATTAAGTTGAAATATTTGAATAGCATGGAACATCTGTATAAAATTATAATCATCCTAAAAAAACTACTTCCTGTTGGACTTCATTTTTGATAGCTTTAGGAGTTGAAAGACCTAAATGATTATTATCATAACTATAGATAATAACTATTAAAATTTTTATTTATATATATCTATTATGCTTTATTTATTTTTGTCGCATTACTTATTTTAAGAATTAATAAAAATAATTCAATCAATACAGAGTTTATCTGTCAAGAACAAGAATTAAATTTTTAAATCTTACCTAATTTTCACACTTTTTTTTCATACTAAAACAAATGAAATAATGCCATTATAAATGAAAAGTATAGTCAAATCAATATTTTACTTAAAATCTTGTATTTCACTCAAATACAACTATTTAAAGTACCTGTTGATTAAACAAGACTTTTTTCTATAAGAATATCTTAAGAATTAAATGAGACAACATTAAAATTATTTTTCATTATTCCAAATTCCACATTTATTTTTGATAGTAAACAGTTAAAGTATCTTTAATTTATTTTCACAACATTAAATAACCATTATTTTTTATCTAATTATAACCCTACTATTATATCTAAATCTATGAATAATAAAGAAATTGATTTAATTTTTTTATCAATTTAAAAATATTCTATAGGGGGATGAAAAATTATTGTATTTAATTATTTTTAACCTTCTAGATCCCTCATACCTTTTCAGTGAGAATAAAACAGATAATGGGTATCAAATTACAAAATAAATTCTTAATTGTTCTTTATTTTTATGTAAATTATTTTAATTATTTTTAAAAGTATATTTAGATTGCCTATCTAAATCTATTTAAACTTTTTACAATATCAAGAAATAAAGTAGTTTCATAAAATTTCAAAACTAGAATATTTTTTACTTAATGGTTAATCTTATTTAATTATTAATAATAATAATTGATTAATAGATGGAGTCCAAAACAATTATAACATTGAGAAATCAATCTCTGATTGCTTAAAAAAAAAATAAAAGGAAATGCATTAAATAGAAATTAGAATTATAAATTAGTTCTTATACAAAAAATTTGATACTGAGTAACAACATTATTATAATTATTCAATATGCTTAAACTTAAACATAAAATTTGTCTCTCTTAAGATCTGATCAAATTTAAATTTGGATTATAATTGGATTAATCATCATATTCAATTAAAAGAGATGGATTATTAGATTTATATCAAAAATTTTATAAATAAATTGATAACCATTAGATATATCATAAACATATTCAGTATACATTTTATTTATTGAAAGGGAGAAAATAATAGGTTATGGTTGTAATTTCTAATTTATTGAATATTCCTATGGATTTCAAAAAATATAAAGATAATAGTGTAAATGGTGAAAATTAAATGATATGATAATTTTTAGATATGATTAAAAAAAAGATGGAAACTAAAATTGTTCTAAAAAAGCAAGAAACTAATATTGGTTTTAAAAAAAAACAGGAAGCTAATATTGATTTAAAAAAACAATGATATTATCTTAAAAACGTAAAAACATTTGTTTGTTATTATTAAACTCTATGAATTATTTAGGTAAAGATACTATCACAATGTAAATATTGATGGAAATCAAAAAATGAAGGCAAAGTTAAGAATGAGTTTTATTTAGTTTTAGAGGAAGGATTTATTAAATGTAAGATTTCACTAAATTAAAATATTATTACTAAAAAGTCTTATAAATAAATTGAAATATAAATGTAAAATTATTATCAATTATGAATGAATATGCAATATTATGAATATGCAATATTATAAATATTATGTTAATAAGGAATATTTAATTATCTAGATGTACTTTTGTTACTAGTATTTTTATAATAAATTTAAATAATTATTATGTAGTAAAACAACTCTTTAAAAGAGAGATTGAAATGTAAAATAGAGTTTGGTGAAGATGAAGAGAAGCCAGAAATAATAAGTTTGAGTGTTGTTGATGATGCTTTAAAATTTGAGGATAGATATGAAGCATTAGAAATACTGGGTAATAAATAGTTTTATTAATGTACAGGATAGGGAGCACATGCAGTAGTAAAATTGGCTAAAAGGAAAGAAACTAATGAATTATATGCAGTAAAAATAACACGAATGAATAATGAAGAAATTTATAATAATGTGAAGAGAACATTTTATAATGCTCGTTGTCTTCGACATCAAAATATTATTTAAGAGATTGAATTGTTTATAAATGAAAAATATTGCAGTGCCTGTTTGGTTATGGAATATTGTGCTTATCCAACATTAGAATAAATTTTAATAGAGAGAGGAACATTGAGAGAAGATGAAACTAGATAAATTATCAAATAGTTATTAAATGCTATTCAACATATACACAATAAAGGAATAAGTCATAGAGATATAAAGCCAGATAATATATTAGTAAATGTAGATGGTGATTGTGAATTAAAATTATTTGATTTTGGTGTTTCTAGACGGTTTTTATAAAAAAACCAACATATTGAAATGCTCACAAAAACAGGGAATATATATTATTGTGCACCTGAAATTTATCATTAAGCACATTATTCGAAAGAAATTGATATATGGAGTGTAGGAGTCATTATGTTTTAATGTATGACAGGTGAATTGCCATTGCATGCTAATTAAATTAGTGATCAAATAGAATTGTTAAAATCTCCTGAATTATGGAACTTCAAAAATAAAGTTAAAGAAGAATCACTTAGTGCTTAAAATCTATTATTTAGACTTTTATAGGCAGATCCAAAGAAACGGATTACTGCGATAGATGCATTAGCACATCCTTTTATAGAAAAAAATCAGATATATACAACTTTAGCAATGCTATCATCTACAAAGATGATTGAAGATGATGATGGATTTGCTAATAAGTGTAAATCTCTATAAACAAGTTTATCTATGAATTAAAAACAGAATTTACATCGAGCATTAAAAACTTTACATCTTGGTATAGAATATCAGGATATAGTAATTGAAGATTTAATTAATGAACTTGGTAATATTCATGTGGTATAAAAAAGGAATGGAGAAAATTATCCAGGTTTAATTTAGTTAATAAATTCTTTGGGTAATAGTTCAGGAAATAATTAATTAGAAACAAATAATAGTAATGGAAAATGTAATTTAGGTATAGGATCTGCATAAAGCATATGTATAGATACAATTTATATAATTAGTTTCTAATGATTATTAGACATAAGATTGTTTTGGAGATCTTTGTAATATATAATCTAGTGTTGATTTGGGTAATTCAGGAAATTATGTTTAACATGAGGAAAAAAAGAGAAATCCAATTTAATAATTTGTAAATTAGGTTGGTGGAAGAGTTGAATGTAGCATCGATATAAATTTAACTGATAGTATTTAAGAAACAAGTTTGAATAATAGATGTAATCAATTAATTTCAACTCTTGATGTTCTAGGAATGAAAGAATGTGATGAAGAGGTAGAAAATACGATTTGATTTAATTTATAACTCATTTTTTTCTTCATTTCTTGGTTTATTACTAAATTAATATTAATTTTGTATTTATACGTTAACGAAAAACTCAGAAAATATTTATTTCATTTAAACTCCTTCACCAAATCTAGGAGATATTATAGTAATTGGTTTGTTAGTAGGACTATTCTAATCTAGAGTATTAATAAATCCTTATGAAGAATTAGCTTATTTAAATATTTTGATTCCATTTTTATTTTCTTTTTTTGGTACCTTATCAAATATTGTTTTTTTAGTCTTATATTTAAAATATAAATAATTACAGGTTTTGATTTTTTATCTGATTAAGGTGATAAAATTGGATTTCTTGATTGTTAAAAAGTTTAAGTTTTTTAATTGACTGGAGGTGATACAGATTTTTATGTGATTTCTGTATGATAAGTTCGAATAGATGATTTCCAGTCTTTCTCTGTAGATTATCCTTTTGGATAATATTTTTTTAAATGAAAATCATTTCTATGCATCATTGTTTCATAATTTAGTGGAAATCTTGAGCTATGAATATTCTTTTTAGGATCATTAATAGTATCAATATAACTATAGATAGTTTTTTTGAGAGATGTTTTATGATGAGTTGGTTTTGTAATTTGCTAATCTGAGATAGTGGGAACTATTTAATTAAATAATTGGGAGCTAACTAATTTATGATGTCCTTTAGCTGATTTTTTAGATTCTGGTAGTTAATGATTGCAATAAACACTATCAGTGATGTGTTTTAATCCTGAAATATGAAGAGAATAAATTGACATATTATTAATATAAAAAAAGTGAATGGATTTTAAAACACGATTTTAAGGTAGAACTAGTACAATGGATAAAAATGGTGTAATAGGAATAGTTTAAAAGACTTCATAACCAATAAGTAAATAAAGTGAACCATAAATAATTACAACTAATATGAATACGTATTAAAATCCTCCATCATACTATTTTCAGAAGTTCCAAAAGAATGCTTAGAAAGTATTATAATCAGAAGCAGATATTGATTTAACTCCTTCAACAAGATCTGATTATCCATCTTATAAATTTAGACATGATTTCTAAAAATTGAATATGGATGAATATGAAATTATCGCAATTCCAAAAAAGGTATTGGAAGGTGAGAAATATTCAATGACTCATTCATTTGTTCCCGTAATGAATAAAGCAATAAATAACAATATGGGTAATTCATAGATTGGTTAGAGTTAACAATTGATAAAAACTCATTCAGATAACAGTTATTCAAGATAATTGAAGAATGTTAATCCATAACAAAATCCAAATCCCTTTATATAGGCTGGGTATGGAGCACTCAAACAGAAATAGTTATATTTACAAAATCTAAGAAAATGACTTAGCCTAAGACTATTATTGTTTTAAAATATTAATAAGTTACATATCCTTTGTTTTTATTTCTGAGTTTAATATAATGATCAAAATATTAATAATTAATGTAATCTGTTGATTTCGCAAAGTAAGTACTAGGTGAACCACTTCGTTGCATTGTTAGAATAAAGCCACCATCTAACTTTTAGAAGGAAGATGTGAGAATTAACAATTAATAAATATTGCTTACTGATAACAATAGAAGTATTTATAATAATCATTTTTACATTTTTAGTATTGGAAGAATTTGAATGTCCTGAAGCTTATGGACCTGAATTTTCAATGCATTAAATATATGAATAGTTTTTACAATAATTTACAGGACCATTTATATAAGGTTTGAACGTAAACATTTTTGCATATGGGTAGTGAAATATTAAAATAATATAACTTAGATCTACAGGAGCAGGTAAAACTTAAACAATTGAAGGAAACAAAAAAGAACATGGTCTAATATTGAATTATGCGTCTTCAATATTTTCATTATTAGAAAATAAGAAATTTCATACAAATTAATCATAGGCATCTTAACTTGTTAATTATTCATATGGACTGAGAGCAAGATATGTTGAAATAATAGATGAAGAAGTGTCTGATTTATTTGCTCCTCCAAATAAAAGATTAAATGATTAATTATAAATATTAGATCATGCATGGGAAGGACCAACGATAGCAAATTCAACTTGGGTAACTGTGAATAATGAAATATAATTACAAGAAGCTCTTAATAGTGGATAACGTAATCGTAATTAAACAACAAATGAATTTGGTAAAGTTTCAAATAAATCTACATCATTTTTTACACTTGAACTATTACAAAGTTCATTATAAAAAGATACTAATGAACCATTAATAATGTTATCTAGACTATGTTTTTTTGATTTAGCAGGATCAGAAGTATTAATTGATGATCCAGAAACAATAAGAATTAAATAAGGTTCTACTCTAAATAAATCTATAATTTCATTTACATAATTACTCAAAGAATTAGGATAACCTTAAACAGCTGATCATGCTGCATATGATACTTCTGCACTTACTTCTATTGTAAAGGAATTAGTTGGAAGTAATTCACTTTCAATTGGTATATTTTGTGTATAACATGGTGATCCGAAAGGAACTAGTCTTACTTTAAATATTTATAAATATTGTAAGAATATTAAAAACTTTCCTATTGTTAATGATAGTAAAGTACTTGGTTTATTACATAAATTTCGTTTAGAATGTTAAGCTGCAAGATTATCTGGAAGAGGTGGTTATGGTGATACTGGAAATAATAAAATGTTAGAATTAGAAAAAAAATTAATTGAAGATAATCTTGATAAAATGAGAAATGCTGATGAAAAATAAAGAATGGCATAAAAATTATCTACAATGAGAGAAAAATATAATGAAATTGTTAGATAAAAAGCAGAATTATAATAAGATCTTATTAGAAGTGAAGAAGAAAAACTAGAAGTTTCTAAAGCACTTGTAGAATTATAAATTGAAAATACTAGATTAATGGAAATTATATAAAATGAAAAATATGATATGAATAATAAATTACTTAATGCTGAATCTGATTTATTATCTATGAATATTAGAGAAGAAAAAGCATTAAAAACTATTTAAGAATTATAAGATTAACTTAAAGAAACTAAAGATGATAAAAGAGCTTTAGAAATTGAATTTGTTGCTCTTAAGAAAAATTATATTAATATATCTACTGCTTTAGAAACAGAAAAAGCTAAAAGTGAGAATATTGGATTAGAGTTAATTAATGTAGTTAATGAAAATAAATCACTTCATTAAGAATTAAATGATATCTATAAGAAATCTGGAAATACAAATGAAGAAAATGCTAGATTTATGAAAAAGTATACTTTATCATTTAGTTTAGAATTGAAAAATTAGAGTAAGAAAACCGAGAATAGAGAGAAGCTCTTATTTATACCAAGGCTGAAATTGAAAGATTAAAAACTGAAATGCTTAAATATGAAATATTAGATTAATAACATAGAATTGATCTTGATAATAAAAAGTTAGAAATTGAAAAAGGATTTCTAGAAGCTAATAGAGAAAAATAAAATGAAGTCTATAAAATGAATAGAGAATAAGATGATGCTGTTAAAAAAATGAGAGATGAAAAATTATTATGGGAAAGTTAAAAAATGGAATTAACTCATAAAATTAAAACAATGTAAAGAAGAGTTAATGATGAAGAAGAAAGAGTTAAAGAATTAGAAAAATAATTATAAGAACTTTAATCAGATAATTAAAAAATGGATTTACAAATGAATGAAATGAGATCTCTTTATAGAAATAAACTTATGTAATTTGCTGCTGATGGTAAACCAGATAAAGCAAGTAGAATTGGTTATGATTTTAATGCTAGAGAAGATTTAATAAGAACATATACTGAAAAAGAAATAGAATTAAATGAAAGATTAGAAAGAGAAAAAAAAAACTCTAAATAATCTTAATTATAAATACGATAACTTAAAAGTTATGCAAGAAATCTTAAATATCTTTGTGAAGATTGGGCACCAGTAGGAATTCCTTTACCAGATATACTTACAAAAGATGCCACTTTCATTGATGAAGAAACTTATGGCACTTTATAGGGTGATCATGTAGCTGAAATTGAAAGATTAAGAGTAAGGAATAAAAAATTAGAAAATGAAGTTCGAATTTTATAAGAAAATATTATGAATGGTGTTGGAGGAGGCAATATGGATTTAAGTAGAAGAATTTCAAATGAAATGGAAATGTTAAAATAAAATAAAAATAAATCAATTGATTCTGATTTCTAAGCTGATTAATTAAGAAAAGAAAGAAATGATTTACAAGAAGAAAATAGAAGATTAGTAACATTATTAAAAGATAACAAAAAATGGGATGTTTATATCTTATAAAGAGAAAATGAAAGATTAATGAGATAAATGAAGGAATAAGAAGTTGGCTTAAATTCAGCTGGACCAATGTCAGGTGAGGCTAAAAATATTTAATAAAAAGTATCTTATTTCATTTTTATTTTTTTTAGTTATAAATGTATGAGAGATCTCTCAAACAATTAGAAAAAGAAAGATCTGAACTTATTGTTAGAGCTACTATGGCTGAAGAATAACTTAAAGCTTTATAAGAACATTTAGCAAAATAAAGTCAAGATTATTAGAGGAAGCTTTTAGAAATTAAAAGAGGTGGAAATATATTCTGATCAATTTATAATTATAATTCTATAGTGAATTAACTAAAATCATATATATTTCTCTATTATTTCAACTCCAATTCTAATTTTTATGAAATTTTATTTCCTATATTCTAATTATATGATTTTTATTATAGATTTTAATAGCATGTTTCTTAAATACTTTAAATTTCAATCATAATTCAAAATATGCAATATTCACTTATTTCTTCATTAAGAAATAATTATTTATTAAAAACTATTGTAAGATGGTACTAATTTAATATTTTTATTACAAAAATTGACCGAAAAAATTGTTTAAAAATATATATGTGATCTTAAACGAAAATAGAATGGACAGATTTATTCAAGTTATATTATATAATTATGTTGTAGCATTTTGAAATAAAAGAATGCATTAGCAGTTTTATAATTATTTTATTTCCCTTTGTGTTTTCCTAATTACTGAATTTATTATATGAATTATTAGCATTAACAATATTTATAGATATTAGATTATATACTTATGATAAGAATTATAAAATCCTCAATATGATTTCTTAATTTTGTCATGTAACATTAATAAGTATTTGAAATTATATTCATTATCTAAGTTCGGAAAATATGAATTCTCATAAAGAAGATGGTACTTAATAATGTAATATTAGTATTACACAAACTTGAATTTAAGAAGATAATAAAAAATTCTCCAAAAAGCAATATCGAAGAATTTTTAAACCCACCATCTTTTAGCGAAAGCTTTTTCTTAGCTAACTCATTTGTATCAGATAATAATTTAAAAGAAACAAAGCAACAAAAAATTAATCAATTGATACTTGAGAATTGTGAGAAATGGTTGGAAACTATTGAATCAGCTTCATCCTCAGCATATTTTAAGAAAAAATAATTAAGAAATAATTTATCAACTTTTTCTGTTTTTATTTCAAGACTTTTCTTTATCAAATATTTGATTGATTTTTTGAACATCTTACTCAACATTTTTTTTGGATTATAAATTCCTTTTGTTTATCTGATAGAGGATTATGAAAATATTAAGCATTAACTTTATTTCCTACTATTCTGCCATTTAATTAATATAATCATTCAAAATTTTTACTCTAAAATTATCAGAACAAGAAAAATAGATTAGAAATAAAAGTTTAACTTTTTAAATGAATCTACTTTAAAGAATTTATCAATTATATTCCTTATATTAATTTACACTATAGTAAATATCAGTCTTCTTTTGTTAATGATTTCCTTTTATTACTTTTACATGGGATATAAAAAGATTGAAATATTTGTTCTTTTGTTAATTATTTAAAAAAGTAAATTATGAAAAATTTAATAAATTAGGAAAATTTTATAAACTTCTTGCTATTTTGAAAGCTTTCATTTATTATTGTTATTTATTACACCTATTTTCATGTTTTTTTGAAAACACAAGTTGTGATGGTGATTTTTTGAAAAAATATTAAGAATCTTTAATTATCAACATAAATTTTTTAACTTTTTAATCAAATTACTATTTCTAAGATTCTCAATTAAGTTTTGAGATAATATTAAATAAAATTATTGCATTGATTCTGATGTTTTATACAATAGATATATTAATTAAAATTAGATCTATTGATGGAGAGATAGAAAAATAAATTAAATTTGATGTTTATGTTTTATAATATTATATGTGGCATCATAAAGGATAAATATTAAAAAAGATTTAATATTATTCATAAATCTCTAATAAAGAATTAAAATATGAATAGGTAATATTTTATCTAAATATATAAGTTGGGTTAAAAAGAAATTATAAGAAAAATTTACTAATAAATTTTAAAGGACAATTTAGGGGTTCTAAAAATATTTTCAAAATAATTTATGATAAATTTATCTTAGAAGGTAAAATCGATTAGAAAATAAAAAAATCAATTTAGAGAAGATAAACATGGATTATATTTAATATTGGAAGGGAAAGGAAATTTAAGTTTTGAATCAAATTTTAAAGTGTATAAAGAAATAAACACAAAAGAATATACATTTGGATTAATTAATTGTTTTTATAAAAACATTTCTGAGGTTTAATTAGAAATGGATAATAATTTTTTATTATTATACATAAATTCTGAAGATTTTTATTCTTGTCTCACTTTAAGTAAAGATTTTGTAATAAAATATATTAAATATGATAGGAATTATTTCATTTGATAAAGAATAAAATAATTTTTGAAGGTGATACAAGTATGATAGATTATAGATGTTGGATATGTAACGGATAGCATTAAGAGAGAAGATGTCAAATTCTAAAAATAGAAATAAACATAGAAATTATTAATGAATAAAATATGAGAAGTAACTTTAAAAATAGATTCAACAAAAAAAGGTATTATGCTTATAGGACATATGTAAAATTTAGTTTTAGTTTGATTTAGTTGCTTCATAAGTAAAATGAAAGTCATACTATTGATTAAAGTGAAAGTAGCTCTAGTGATAGTGAAGAATAGTTCGAAAGATATGCTGATGAAGGAAGTGGAAGTCAAAGAGTTAGTGATAAAAACTATATTGTACAATGTAAAAAATATAAAAATTTATAGCAAGTAAAGGAAATATACAGATTCCTGCAATATAGAAGGATGTTTTAACAGATCACATTCCTGATAAGTTGTATGAACAATTAAAGAGTAGTCATAGGAATATTTAATTATAACCATCTATTAATACATGTAGTTAATAATAAGGAGAAATGCTTCGATCTGATTTTAGAAGTATTCCTTTATACCCATCTTAATATAAATTTTAAGAACTTTTAAGTGTTGATGACCTAGACAGTGTTAAAGAATATGTTTATTATTATCCAGAATTTAACATCAGCAATATCATTTCAATATTAAATAATTGAAATTTCAAATTGATACTTGATTAAATTAGTAGTTTTAGTTTTAATTTCATTATTAAATATTCTAAAAATTATATCTTTTTTAAGAGAAATATCTTAATATATTGCAGTAAGATGTTTACTAAATTTACATAATTTATACTATGGTTTTTTAAGTGTGGTTTATAATATTTTAAATATATTTTTTCCATAATTTATTCTGGAATTATTCATGTTAAAAAATATTGATTATTAATAAGAAAAAGAGAAAATATCAAATATTTAGTTTGTTAATAATCTTAATATCTTAAGGTAGAGATTATAATTTTGAATAATTATTGTGTTAGTATTTTATATACAATAAATATTATTTATATTCAGTTATGAAAAAAGGGGATGCTCTAATAATATTGAAGAAATATACATCAGAGGAGGATTGTCTATTTTGTTAAAAATATGGAAGAGTAACAACAGATAAAATAAATTTTGCTCCACTTCTGAATAGAGTAAGAAATAATTAAATTGGGAATTAGGCTTTGTACACGAAATATTCTTAATCTCAATGGAATGGAAAAAAATATGAAGATTTATTTTCAACAAAACCTGTATCATGGGTGATTTAATTCAAAGACAAATTAACATTTGAAGATTAAGATGAATTTCTGAAAAGGTATAAAAAGAATAAGAATTTTTATATAATAGGTTTTATTCAAAGAATGACTAACCATAGAAATTTGATTAATTATTAGAATATTACAAATATCATAAAGATATTCCAAGAATGTTTATGCCAAGAGTTTCTGATTTAGCAATATATTTTTATGAGAAAAAAAAGTAATTTTTTATTAATTTAAAACATTAGATAGATAGAATATAGAAAGATAAAATATATGCTTGGTATTCCTATTGAAGATGCTAGTAATTGTACATGTAATAATAAAGATATAATTAGAATATGAAAAACTTAAAGAAGATATAAAAGTATTAAATAGTATAACTCAGCAGACTCAAGTATCAAGTCTTTCTGTATTAAGAGAAATCTTAAAATCTAAAGCTAGTGATGAAATTATTGTAATAATAATATAAATGTAAATTTTAGAATATTGATGCAACTTGGATGACAATGACTTAATAATAATAATAATAATAATAATAATAATAATAATAAAAATCATTATATCCCCCTAACCTAAAATTGCTTAAATAATTAATATCTAAAAATACCCAATTTAATAAAGATAAACAAAATATTTATGCAGCAGGAATAAATAAGGGAGCAATATAAAATTCTCCATTACTTAAAGGACATCTAAAGACTTTAAGTAAAGATGCTTCACAAAAATCTTTAGTTTCATCCAATAAAATAATTAATAATAGTGGTGGAGATACAGATTTACATAAATTTTTAAAATAACAGATTCTAACAGTTAATCATGCTAATCCATGTGTATCTAATCCTAAACAATCATCTAAAGCTAATCATATATCTAATTATCAATCTAAATAGAATAGCATACATTATATTACTAGTACTAGAAGTATATCTTCAGAGCAATTAAAATTAATTTAATCATAATAACCTTTAAAATAAAGCAATAGTCCCAATTTAGTTATTCCGACACATAAAAAAAGTTAAACATAAACACATTATACAGAAGTTAACTCTCCTAATAAACATTAAAAGCAACTCTCTAATAAAATGCATACAAATATATAATAAGATCTCAAATAATCATTAACTCATACTAAATCCTCTGATAAACTCTTCAAAATATATACATCCCAATCATCTGTTCCTTTGTCAGCAAATATTAATATTAACATTAATCAACTTAATATGAATAATTTAAATATTAAAACTCCCTTTTAATAATATAAAGCAATGCTTGAAAGTCCTAAAATTAATTCAAAATAAAAAACATAATCTAATATTGAAACTTAAAGAATTACTAGTGCTTAAAAGAGTGCCAGTTCTTAGAAAAAAACCTAAATCTCCATTTAATAGTTATATGCATAAAAAATCAAAACTAAGAATAAAATATTGAAAAAATGATTTACTCTAATAAAATTATTTATTTTTAAATAATATTTCAACTTTTGCTCTTTTTTTATTGTAACAAATTCCTCTTTTTTTTTACTTTTTATAAATTTATTATTTTTTTATATTTATTTTTCTGTTAAATGCACAGATCATCTCATAAAAGACAGAAAACTTCCAATACACCAAAAAAATAAAAGGAATAAGATAATATTCCTATTCCAAGTTAATAAATCGCAAAATAAATAAGAAATGACGAGCCTGTTTAATAATTGAATGTCATTGAATATCCAAAATATTAAATTCGAAAACAGGATTCTTAAAATTTTCATCTAAAATCATCTTAAAATTTAGAGAAATCTTATAATTTAAGTAAAAGTTATATTAAAAAATAAGGTGATAGAATTTATTCGCCTGCAAGAAAATAAGATTAATCTCCTAATTTAAGAAAAAAAGAAAATATCAAAATTATTGATTCATATGAAGCTAGATGTGGTAAATTAAATACTGAAAATGTTCAACTATAAAATCAAATATAAACAGATTAACAAAAATATAATAAAATTATCAACGAATTATAAATGCAGTTATAAAATTAAACTTATAAACTACAAACAGAATAACATAATACAAAATAATAATAATTGTTATTATAAAAAAAGAATGAAGAAATATAATTATTAGTCAATGAATTGAAAAAGAATGAAACAAAGATTATATAGCTATCTCAGAATGTATCTATAATGATTTATTAACTAGAATGCTTAGAACATTGATGAAAATTAGAACTTGAAAGCCTAGATATAAAATTTGGAGCTTGAATTATAGAGTTTGAAATAATAACTATAAGATTCTCAATTCAAAAGTTCAAGATAAGCTGAGGAAACTAAAATAAAATTGGAAAGTGAATTTTCTTTTTAAAATTAGTTACATTTAAAAGATATTTAATAGTAACATTAATAAATTTTAAGCAAAAAAAATGATTAACTTATATCTGAATAATAAAAATATTCATCTCTATTAACTTAATTCGATAATTTAGTGAATGAAAAAAATAAAATGTCATAAGTTATAGATAATCTTTAGGATGAAAATATATCATTTTAATAATAGCTTCATTAATAAAATTAAATAATTGAAGAGTTGAAATTAAAATGTATAAGTTTAACAAAAGATTTGTAAATCAATAGTGATAAGCAAGCTTAATAAGAATTTATACATCAAAAATAAATCCAAGAACTTAAATAATATTATGAACAATAACAAATTAATAATTTATAAAGAAAACTAAACGAAACTGAATTAAAACATTAAAATGAATATCAACAATAAGATTCTATAATAAGAGATCTATAATAGTAATTGTAATAATCTGAGAATAATTATTAAATTGTAAAGACTGAAAATACAAAATTATATGCAATAGATTAAGAATAAGAAAAAGAGATTAAAATAATGCAATAAGAATTAGAGAGAATTGTTAAATTTAAAGACTTAGAAATATAATAATTAAAAGAAGATCTTTAGAAATTAAAACAATAAGTTTTAGAATAATCATCAAAATACTAAACTAAATTACATGAATTAAGTAAGTAATAAGTTATTGCTAATGATATTAAAAGCGAATTAGAATTACAAAAGAGTGTTACAAAAGAAATTGAAAATAATATAAGAGAGTAATGGGAAACTGATATTTTATAATTGAAAGGTTTTCATTAATAATAAATTCAACATTTAGAAGAACAACTTAAATTGTTGCATATAGAAAATGAAAAATTAATAATTTAAAATAGAAAGAAGGATGAATAAATAAATGAATAAAAACTTAATTAATAGTTACTTGATAATTCAATCAATAGTTTAAGAAATTAATTGAGTGATACAGAAAAATAAAAGGTAAAAGAATTAGAAGACTATTAATTGGAATTGGAGAATTTTAAAAAAGAATTAAAGGAATAAAATTTAAAGTTATAACTAGAAAAACAACAATTGGAGTAATAATTAAAGTAATAAAAATAAAGAGTTAAAGAATTAGAAACATCAAAAATTGAATTAGAATTCACATCTTCTCAATAAATTTAAAATTAATAAGAATAATTAAAATAAAAAGATTGGCAAATTAACTAATTAAATTAAGAAAAGTAGAAATTGGATTTTTAATTAAAATCAACAAAAGAAAAACTTATTTAAGCTGAATTTTAAGTAGTAGAGTTAAAATAAAGTTCAGAAATATATTTAAAGGAATTAGAAGAATCAAATTAATAAAAAGATCTTGAAAGAAATCAGTTTAGTTAAAAATTTGGTTTTTAAGAAGCAAGAATATCATAATATAAATAGGCAATAAACTAATATGAAATAGAAATCCACAATTAAAATAATGCTATTGATAAAGTGTAAAAATAAATGGATCATGCTTTACTTGAATCTTAAAAGAAAATAGAGGATGCAAGAAAGAAAGAGTAAAAATTGTTAGATTAAATTGCAAACTTAAATTTATAATAATAATCTAATGAAGAATAATTTATAAAATATTAAGAGGAACATAAAGAATCTAATAAATAAATTGAATAATTATTATAGGAGAAGGATAGTTTAATAAAGAGTTTGGAAAATTAAAAAGAAAAATTAGTTGAAGTAAAAAATGAATTGACTCAAGAAATAGAATAATTAAATTAAAAGATTTAAAATTATGCTGAAGGAGAGAATTAAAGATAAGATTGGGAATTTTAAGTGGAGAATGAAAAGGTATAAATTATTATTATATTTTAGGCTGTTTTAAACAATGATATTGAAAGATTATAATAAAAGCTTGATTAAAAAGAGTCTAAATTAAATCAGTTACAATAATAATATACAAATTTGGAAATTTAATTTGAGGATAAAGAATTATTATATAATACACTTAGAAGTTAAATTGATTAGAATTATGTACAAATAGAAGACTATGAATAATTGAAATAGAAAAACATTAATTTGTTGAATGAGATTCATGAATATGAGAGCAATTAATTGAAATCAAATAGTGAAAAATAATCATTGAGAAGATAGATTGAAAAATTAAAGAGTGATCTTGAGATTAAAGAATAGGAATTGGAGTAGGCATTTGAATAAATGAACAAAAGGAAAGGTGATAATGAAGATGTATCGAAATTGACAAAAGAAATATAAAGATTGAATTTTGAATTATCAGATGCTTAAACTTTATTATCAGCAAAAAGTGAATAATTAAACATAATGAGAAAAGAAAATGATGATTAATTAGAATAGATTAATAGATTGAAACGATAATTAAATTAATCATCAGAAAAGGAACTAATAAGAAGAATAGATAGATCAGAACATTTGGAAGAAAATATTTGATTGCTTATATTTAATCTTAGCATAAATTATATATTAAAATGAAATATTAAAAATAAATAAAATGTAGTATAAATGTATATCATTTCCATACAGGTTTACTATTGATTATATTTTGTATTAAAGCTTCATCATTTTTCATTTGTCCAGGAGATGGATATCTCCACCCTTTATTCTTATTTGTTGGTATCAATTAGGTAGCTTTAGGAATATTATTCCCTATAATTAAAACTAAAAATAAATTTACCTTTTACAATAGGGGAAAATTGACGATAAGGAAAGGGTGTTGGTTTTGGAATTGTTATAGGAGGTTAAATTTCAGGCTATCTAAAATAATATATCATATTACGCATAGGCAGATCTAGGTCTGTCAGTAGGATCTTTTTTTTATTATTTTAAAGATAAAGATTTTCCTGATTATTTAAGTTTCTATTCCTAATGTTTTTTAAGACTATCATTCTATTATCGTTTGATTGTGCCACTATTAGGTTTGAGAAGTGAATTATTTTCTCTAGAATTCAGTATTGAATTACATTTTTCTAATTCCTCTTTTAGAGTTACATAATTATTAACTGTAACATGATAGATATTTCCATTGATATTATTTTGACTATTTAATTTTACAGCATTCTTAGGATTTGTTTATTTTATTTTTTTTTGTGATTTTTTAACTAAAGTTTCATCTGCCCAACTTATTGCTCTGACTTTATTCTCATTTAAATATTAATTAAATAATCTTCTATCTAACCAACAAGGATCAGCTGGACTAGATTTTGCATTTATAAAAGTATTTCTAAGAAGTTTTTCATCTTCTTCTAATGGTAATTCTTATTCTTCATGAGGCTGCCATGAACTTGACAATCCTCCTTCTCCCTTTTTATTTAATTTAGACTCCAATTAAGTTAGTTGATGATAAAAACTAGCTCTTATTTCAAGATCTGGTCTTCTAGAGTTTAGAAACTCTAAAGTCTTATATAATTTCCATTTATATTTTCTCATAAAATAGGCAGCTAATGCACAACATGAACGAGATTATCCTCTTATCGAATGAACCAGAACTGATTCTCCATTATTATGTGCTTATTCAATAAATTAATAGATTTCATTAACGGTATCATTTGGAAATAGTATTTACTTATTCATGATATATACAATGTACTTGTTCATTCTCAAGCCAATTAAATTTTAGATAGGAAACACCATAATTTTCGAATACACATGATAATTACTTGGCTGCACAATTTACAATTCGAGTCACTTTATTTTGGATGACAAATTCAAGATCCTTATAAGATAAAAGTTATATATTTTACTTTTGAAGCTAATTCATCTCCAATGAATAGACCATCCTTTACTTTAATTGCTCCAATTATCATTATGTTTTATTTAGTAATAAATTTTGAAATTTGAAAAATGGAATTAATGCCTAAATTGTAAGAAATTCAAAAAGAATTGTAATATTACACTAAATACTTCTAAGAAAACAAACTTTATCATTCTAGCAAATGGACAGGAGAATTATTATTAGGATTAACTTAAGAAGAAGATTTATAATAATCTTAATTTGCAATGCAATTTATTCAAAACAATACTGATTACAATTATCATTTTATTAGAGAGTTTATTCCTGAATATAATGATATTATTTTAGTGGCTAGAAATCTTTTTGATTTAAGAGAATTCAAGAAATGTGCATCTTTATTATAAAATCTCATCCATAAAAATGAATCTGCAATGTTTCTCTATTATTACTCATAATATATGTATGGAGAGTTAAGAAAGGAAGAAGAGATGTTTGAAAATGAAAACTCAAAGACAGCTACAAATCCAGAACTTAAATTATTAGAAAGAGAATTATCAAAATTATACAATCAAAAATAATTAAACTAATTGAATCTTTACCTCTATGGACTAATATTAAAGGATACAATGAGATTAAGAGAAGCAAGAGATGTATTTATTTAAGTTTTGCATTAAATGCCTTGTTTTTGGAGTGTTTGGTTAGAATTATGTAAATTATTAACAGAAGAAGATTCTTTAGATGAATTACCAAATCATTGGATGAAATTATTTTGGAGCTCCAATTTTAATTTGGAAAAGTTTAAAAATGCTAATTGTGTAGAATAATTTTAGACTTTATTATACTACTTTAGAAATTCAAATTTTATAATAAATTAAATTGCAAATGCTTATTATAATAATTAAGAATTTGAATTATCGCTTGAATGGTTCGAAAGATTATTGAGTATTGATCCATATAGATTTGAGAGTTTGGATACATATTCAAATATATTGTATATAAAAGAGAATTAAGGAGAACTTGCAAATTTAGCATTATAATCATTTACAAATAATAAGTATGTACCCGAAACTTGTTGTGTAGTAGGAAATTACTATTCTCTGATGAATGAACATGCAAAAGCAATAAATTATTTTTAAAGAGCTCTAAAATTAGATAAAGATTGTTTGGCAGCATGGACTTTAATGGGACATGAATATTTAGAAATGAAGAATGTAGCATCTGCGATATAATCATATAGAAATGCAGTAGAAATAGATCCAAAAGATTTTAGAGCTTGGTATGGATTAGGATAAACATATGCATTACAAGGAATGAATTAATATGCCTTATATTATTTCAGTAGGGCAGTAATAAGTAGACCTAAAGATGCAAGAATGTGGAATGCAATGGCAGAATGTTATGATAAAATGGATAAAAAAAATGAATCTATGAAATGTTATGAAAGAGCTAATTAATGTAAAGATAAAGAAGGGATTGCAATTCATTAATTGGCTAAATTATATGATGCTGTGGTATATATTTAAATTAACTATATATTTATAGGGTAAAACAGAAAAGGCTCTGTCGGCATTTGAAGAAAGTTTGAGAAGAAAAGATGAAGAATAGATTGTTGATAAGGAATTATCAGAATCTTTACTTTATTTAGCTAGAGTATATTTAAGAAGGGGAGAAAAGGAAAGAGCTATGCAAATGGCTAAAAGACTTTATGATTTTAATGGTCCAGAAAGAGATGAAGCCAATTTAATCATGAGTTAGTTAAATAAATGAAATAAATATTATTATTTTGATGAATTAGATTTATCATGATTCGTTATTATTAGCTCTTAAAACTTAAATCTTAGTTCCAATAACCTTAGATTGTAGATATCTTAAAGAGGCTCTAAGTGAAATTTCTAACGAATAACAGTTTTTATAAATGGAGGATTATTACTTAAACTAAAATCTCATTGATGAAATTAATAAGAGGACAATTAGACTTTTAGTAGACTGTATTAAAATACTTCGTAAATATATGTTCATTGGATGGAATGTTAGCCCTTAATTTATTGAAGTATTTCATGATACTAAAAATAGGACATCGTATATTAATTCATAGATAAAAGTTTAGAGGACTGGATGGAACCTGCTTTTTTCGTTTAAAGACTTCCTGAGATCAAAGTTTAAATTAAAACATATTATAAGACATTTTAAGAAAACGCATTTGAGTAATTTTGATATAATTATATAGATTGTGTGATACTTTGATTACAGAACTTTGTGATGATTATCTAAATAGTTCATAAATAAATGGATTATTGAATGAAATTTTGGAGTCTCAATTAAGAAGGGTTGCATATGATCTTTTTGAGTTTGCTTATCTCGATATATAAATTACAAATGAATTCCTGGATAATCTGCAAAAATTATTTGTTGATTTAACAACAGATTTTTTTAACTATTTGATAGATGTTGCATGTCATGCTAATTATAAAATGCAATAATTAGATAAATTATTAAAAGTTTACGGGTGTTTAGCAAATTAAGAGAATTATAAATATATGTAGAAGGAAATATCATAAAATATTATTGATTATGGTGATATTACATTAGTAGGCTAATCATTTTAAGTAAATTCAGATAAACATATTGCTATAGTGAAATAAGCGATTAAACATTTTTATTATGTTATGGATGAATGTAAAGTATGGTTTCAAGCTAAATAGCATAAGAATTTTGATGAATTAATTAATAATGCCTAATTTAATATTATTAAACCACTTCCTTAAAATATTTAAATCTTTTAAAATTAAGATGATATTCATCTTATGGAATTATGTCATGAAATAAAAGTTATTAAATCATAAAAAATATAAAGAAAAGATTTATAAGGATTAAAGATAATTGTATAAGATGAGAAAAATAATAAAATTCAATAATTTATATTAAATTTATCTTATCATTATTTGATGTTTCATTAATATGAAGAAGGTTGGGAACCATTTGATGATGAAAAAGAGTGCAATATAATTCTAGCTAAATTTTTAAATGAATAATTTGATTATCTTCATTGTGGTCATCCTGAATTTAAAAAAAGAGTTGCTAGTGAAAAATCAATAGATAGAACTACTGATGATATTTCTGGATTTAAGAATGCTGTTTTTAAATTTAAAAAAATTAGTGCACCTAAAAAACCTATAAGATATGGAACATCAAATAGAATTATAGGTGGTAAAGCACTTGGAATGGGTATTGGTTGTCTTATAGTTGATTGTCTTGATGAAGATATACCTTGGGATGATAAATTAAAAAATGCAGGGTTTACAGCTCTTTCTTTTGGAGTCTTAGGTCTTCTTGCTTCTAGATTACCAATTGTGGGCATTATTATATAATAAGTAATATTGGCTTTAGCTGTTAAATCTATTTTAGCTAATAAAGTAATTAATGATTCTCAGACAGCTAAGAATCTTGGACATTTAGGTCTAATTATTACTATTGGTGTTGGAATGACTATTGCTGGTAGTTTAATGTTTCCTATTGCTTTTTGGGGTGCTTTCTTTGGTGGTTTATTAGGTGGTGTTGGAATGGGATTATATTAAAAGTTTTTAATTCCGTACTATATGGATAATATAGTTGAAATGTTGAATAAAGCTAGTAAATTAATTAGAAGAAATGGCTCTGTTAGATATAAATAATATGCATTATAAAAATTATAAATTGATGAGAAATTCTTACCAAATCATAAACCATCCTAAATGAGTGATGATTAATATTTCACTTTATTAATGTTTTGTCTTAGCAATGAAATAAGATTAATTAGTAATGCATCCTATTCTAAACAATTGGAAAAGCTAAAATAAAAGAATGCTACTGAAGAACAAAAAGCTAATTTATTATAAAGATAATGTTAGATTGAAATTTCATTAAAAATTTGGAATGATACATATGATTATCTTAAATCTCAAAATATCAGTTTGGTTGACAATGCTAAGTCTTGTGCTGAATTTGTGGATGGTATGCTTACAAATTATAAAGTTGAATGAAACAGTATTTATTAATTATTAAATATCCTATTTCTTATAAGTATTTCTTTAATGTTATTTTACATCCAATTTTAATTATTATAATATTTATTTATATTTATAAAATAAATTATAATTTAATTAACAAAAAGTGTTCTAAAGTATATAATTTAAACTTATTGAAATTCAAAAGAATTCAATAAATTAAATTAGACGAATGTTTATATTTTAAAATAAAGAGTTACTAAATTATATTGATGTCAAAATAATGAAAGTACCAATAAAAAAGAGTTAAATTGACTGATTGAAATTAATATTTTATTTATAAAAATAAATAAAAAATAGATAAATAGAGAAATCAGAAAGTTTATAATTATTGCAAGCATTAGTTTTTGTTGATATAAATACAATAATTGTAAAAAGGTTTACACTTACAATATAAAAAAGAATAAAATTAATATTTTAAGAAAATTGAATAATTACGTCATTGAATATAAAATAAGTTTATAAATAAAAAAAAAGAATATAAGAATAAAGATTGGATTGATGATTTTTATATAATAAGATTTTGGGCATATTATAGAAATTGCTAAGGTTTAATTTTTAATTAAATTTTAATGTATAATAATTCAAGAGATCCTCCAAGTTAAATTCTTCTACTTGTTCTAACTTAATTACCTCCTTCCTTTCCTTTGACGAATGAGTATTTGCATAAGAAGTTTAATGAGTTTGGAGACATTAAGAAAATACTTATTTTCGAAAGAGGAAAGACAAATAAGGCATTTGTAGAATTTCATAATTTGAAGAGTGCAATATCAGCAAGAAAATAATTGAATGGTTTGAATATTCAAGGAGGAAAGTAAGAAATAATTTTGTATATAGAATGATAATCCATTTCTCTCGACTTAAAAATCTTAATCTCGAAATCGTGGATAATTCAAGAGGAACGGATTATACTTAGGCTAGTAGTAATAGTCAAAATTCAGATTCTATTCTTCATTCTAAAACAGATGATAACATAAGAGTCAACTTAACTAATCATATTAGTTAAAGTTCATCTTCTAGAGCAAACTCAAGTCCAGTTAGAAATGAAGAAATCAATAGGTTGCTTGATTATGATGATGATGATTTTGATATTTGGAAATAAGAAATTCAACTTAATCTGACTGATATGCATCCAGAAATACAAACACTACTAAGATAGAAATAATCTAAATTACTCAGAATTGCATCAGTAGATTCTAAGGTAACTGCAAAGATGATTTACAATGTGTTTTCCAAGTTTGGAAATATCGAAGAGATTCTATATTAGAAACAATATTAAAAGACATATGTTAAATTCTAAACCATTAATTAAGCCATCATAGCAAAAGAATATCTCAATAATACTCAATTCTTTGATTCAATAGTATTGTATTCATTATATTCAAATTAGTTACGTATCTATTTTGAACCCTTATAACCTTTATAACCAACTTCTTTATAAGATGAATACATGATTTATTATAATGAAAACTGTACATAGAAAATTATGCCACTCTCATCTAATCTCATAATCACTGGAGTCTAAGATCCTTAGGAAATCTCGGAATTAATCAAAATGTTTGCTAAAATCAAAGGTATAATTTATATATAACTAAATTTATAGACATCAAATTTAATGTAAATAGTATACAACTAACAGTCTGTTCTATTGCAGATACACTCAAAATTATAGCTGTTTTTTCTGATTATGAATTCAAGAATTAGAAGTTGACCATCATTCTCAAATGATGATTATTATTATATTAAATAAAACAAATTGGAAAATCTAATTATAAGTTTCTAACATCATTTCTATACAATTTTTTATTTCTCTCTCTACTTTTAAATTATTTGATTAAGCAAATTCTATTCCTTTATCGCTTCTAATCCAGAAATTTATTAAACTCTCTTCAACATTGAAATATTTAATTTATTAGGAACACTCTTATCTTTTATAAAAGAAATTTCATGTTATTCATTAGATTTATTTTATCTTCCCAATTCCATTGAATAATTCTGTTACTTTAATTATTACTTTTCTTATCTCATTAACTTTTAATTCACTTATCGTAAAGATATAAAATTTTCATTATTATTTTATTCTGTATTAGTATTCATACTTTTAAGTTTCTTTTTCTTACTCTAAATTTCAAAATTATTTATATTATCAATAGAATATTATTCTGAATATATTTATACTTTTTTAATCTATTTGTGATCTGAAATAGATCTTTTTTATCTCTCATTTTACACTCTTTAAACACTATTATCCTATATAATTTTGTTCTGAGACTTATAATATTCTTATAAATATTAATCTTCGTTATCTTAATCATCCATTAAATCCTTAAGAAAATCAGTTGCAAGTGGTAATTAATTTAAACTTTCCCATGTTAGAGATGATTATCTTTTTTGAGATCCATTAAAACTCTTTTCCTGTTCTTTATAATCATATTATGAAAATTTGTGTTTTGAAGGATTAGGTAATTTTTCAATTAGTTCAGTTAAATTTGGATACTTAGAAAGCAGTTGGGATTTTGTAAAATGTTTTTATTCAAATTATAATTTGTTAAATACTTTTTTCTTTCTTTCTATAAGTTTGATCTATTCATTTTATTGTTTCCTTTATAATAAAATTTATTTTATTTATTAGTCATCCTTTACTTCTGGATGATATATTTTAAATTGATATTTAACATCTGTTATTCGTTCAGTTTTATCTTTCATTTAAAATGGTTTTTGAAATGTTTTCATTTTTTATACACAAAGTTTCCAGTTATCTAAACCTAAATTATTTTAGTATTAATCAAAGTTAATGCCTTCTTCCTCTGCTAATAAATTTAATAATTAAATAAACTAATCAAAGTTGAGTTCTTTAGAATTTTTAGCTTTTTTCTTGAATAGCTCTAACAATTTAGAATGATTAATTTTAATTAAAAAATCTCTACAGAAATGCATCCATTTACCAACAGTGAAAATAGATGATTCATATTATTATCTTTCAAAAGTAGCATATTACCCCTAAATATATTGTTATTTGGAATAGAATTCAAAAACTTTGTATAAAACATCCCTATTTTCCATAATAATAATAATAATAATTTATATATATAATTTCTAAATTAATTCAACATTTTCATCCTTCACATTCTATCTGACTGACTATTTTACCAATAATTCAAACCGCTCTCCTTGTAATCCCATCTTTATTAAATAGTCTGTAATCATAATTGATTTCCTAATCCTTTATATACACAACTTAAACAACCTAGACTATTCTTCCAAATACTTCTTTTAATTCATCTCAATTAAGATTCTACATACAAATGCCTATTTGGTAAATTCAAAACCCTTGAATTTGCTAATTCTCTTTCATTATCCTAAAATCCACAAAAATCAGTTCATTTAAAAAATTTTTAAATTAAATAATTTCCTATCAATAAAAATCTTCTCTATAATAAGTAAGCTATTTTCTTAATATCTTTACAATTAACATTAATTAAGAGCCTTATCAGTAAATTGCTTTATACAATATTCTCTAACATTAAAATATTGATATATGTTTTTGTCTTTTCTAATCCTAACCATAAAATTTCAACTCTAAAATTCATCTAAATATATAAATTATTTAATGATAATTTTCCTTTTCTCGATTAGATTATTTTCAAAGGAACCTTGATATCCATTCATTATCAATCCTTCATATATCATTTATATCTATAATCTTTTTTTATTATATAATCTCGATTTATTATCATCTATTATCCTATAGAAATAATGGAAATTTAAATAAATCTCTTAATACAACAATTAATTTGGTTAATAATTAAATTATTTAAAATGGAACATAATTCAGATGATAAAATGTATGTTCTTGATCATAAATAAAATGACAAATATCCTCTCACCAACTAAATTTCTTAAGATTTCTAAGATGATTCTCATACCTATCGTATAATTCGATTAGGTAAAGAATCTGTAAAAATCATGCAGGATTTGAATTGGGAAAGTAACATATTTTTAATAATATTATTTTAGAAAGATTACTCAAAGAAAGAGAATGGAGAAAACTCAAAGTATGTTAAAGTCGTGGATGGTTACATTATGCTATTCTTGAAAAAGAACCATACGTTTTGTTATTCAAAAGAAAAATCACCAAAAATAAAAGATAATGAAAAAACCTGATTTCAATTTTGTATCATTATTTGTTTCTAATTTATTAAATTTCATTTAATTATAATACTTAAATTTTATATTCATTTATTCAATATCAAATTATGTCTAATATTTTAAGACTTTGTCCAAAATGTTAAACAAGTCCAGCCACAATATAATGTATAGATTGTGAAGAAAAAATGTGTTATTCTTGTGATTAGAAAGTACATAAAAAATTGAAATAACATAAGACTGATATCATTCCTTATTCATGTAAAATATTTATTAAAAAAGAGATGAAACAGATTAAATCAACCTCATTTATAATTAGTGGTATTAAAGACCACTCTAATATATCATAAGAATTACAACAGGAACTTAATGAATTAGAAGCTATTATAGAAGCTAAAAAATCATTTTTAAACAAATAAGAAGAAAAATGGGGTATTTAGATTAATTCTCTTGAAACTCAATACCAAAAGAAATTAGAATAATTTGAAAAAGAAATTGAGTCTAATGAAAACTAATTTAAAAATTATTATTCAAGTGGCAATACTACTTAAACGATTACTGATATAAAAAAATAAATGGAGGCATAAAAATAGTATATTTTTTATATTTTAATAATAGATAAGCATGGAAATAGTTGAATGATAAAAAAGAAAAATTATTAGAAAAAGAAAAACTACTTAAAGATATGATTTCAACTGAGTAATATTGTTCTTAGGAAATTTAGTAAAAAAGGAAACTAATTAATGAATATTAGATATTTTTATAAAAATAATAAGCTGAAAAAGATCTAATAAAAGAAGAAAATCAAAAGATAATGAAATAATTAGAATCAATTAAAAATTTATGTAATAAAAATTTACCTGAATTTGGAATTAATGTTGAATTTTTAGATAAATAAATGAAATTGAATAGAATTAACAATAATAAATAAGAAGAAGAATAAGAAGAAGAAGAGGAGGATGAAGAATAAAAAAAAGAAGTTTAAGATAATTAGAATGAATAATAATAATAATAATAATAATAATAATAATAATAATAATGATTTTAAATTAAAATAAATAACAATTTATAAATTTTAATACATAAATTAGTTAATTATTAAAATAATATAACAATCATTTATATCCAACAAATAAATTAAATGCTACTACTATAAGACCAATAGAATAGTTTCTCAAGAGTATTGAGATACTATGATAATCTTAATTTGTCTGTGTAATGAATTAATTGATTAAATTAATGATCAATCCATAAATAATACCTTCAATTTATTATAAAACTTATTTAATAGGTTTAACCATAATAAAAACATGTTTGGTAAATAATAATCCAATATAGATATCCTAAACAGATTGAAAATATCCATAATAATAAGCAATAAGGAGTTCAATGATTAAGATGGAATGTAATTTATATAATTTTCTGGTAGTATGTCTATCAAGGATTCTCCCTTATTTAGTATAAGGTCCTTTATGCATAACATAAGTTTAGACATCTTCATTACATTATTTTTAAACCTAATACGAAAAATGATTAAGAGTGAGATAAAAGAGTATAAAAGTTGGAATTGGCATAATGAAAATATCATCCGATAAAATGGCAGAGAATATTGCAAAAATCATAATAGTTTATGATGTACAAGCTAAAGCATAAGAGTAAGATAAAATATAAAAATAAACTGCCCTTCCTTAACTTATACATTCATACATAGAAGAAATGTAACTATAATCTGTTTATTCAAGATGATTGAATAATTTTATACATGATCTAGATTCATGAGGTCCTATACTAACATGTGCCATTTCCATAGCTTTTCCATCATTTTCTTCTCCTTTCATAAATATTATTTTATCATAAAGTTTAAGTAAATTTATTAATTATTCTTTTCTTTCAGAATTTCCACCAATTATTATATTTTTATTTTTAATTTCTTCATAAAGCTTTTATTAATCAATAATTCCTTAAAATTAGAATTTCTATTATTACTATTCTAGTAATTCTAAAGTTTTACTTGATTAAATCTTCTCTAATTTTAAGTGATCTAAAGTTGGACATGCTAATCTTCTACTCAAAAATATAAATTTGTTTTTCTATTCAAAACTACTACTTAATTAACTTCCTTCAATATATCTATCATTAACTTCATCTTCCTTTACAAGATCTGTTTAAATTGCTACATTAAATGCATCTTCTAATTATAAATGAGTAAAATATCTAATATTTATTTATGATTTACTAAACATAGTAACTTTGTTATCTATTTTATCAATAATCATTTCATTAACTTACCCTAACCAATATAAAGATAAATAATCCTATATGTAAATACTTCTTTATCTACACTTTTTTATAACATAAATCATAAATAAATTTATCAATTAAAGTAATTAAGTAGGTATCGTTATTATAGACAATTAAGATAAATACAATAATATTTAAGTTATATTAATTAATTCCTTATTTCTAATAAGTAAGATCACCAATAATATAAGTAAACATATTATACATTATATTCCAATCTTATTCATGAATGATTCAATCTTAAAAGCAAAAGGATTATACATTGAATTCTATTTCAAATAAGTTGTTCTCTATTTTTCTGTTTTAGTATCCTCCAAAAATGATTACTTATATTAAATATAATCAGATGATTACTATCCCACACTACAAACCAACAATTAACCAGATCCCTTTATAATCTATGAACCAGCAAATATGAAATTGTCTATTAAACTTAAATTTGATTAAATCTACTCATCCATTTAAATATGTTAATCCTTCACTTCATCTATACTCTTAACCTCATGAGTATTAAAAAGATTCGGAAATGGTTGCAACACTTCTATTCCATTGCAATTTTATAATTTTGATATTATACCGTCACATTAAATGAAATCTCCTTGTTTAAATATCAATATGTCTCCAACCACCAATTAACTATTATGAATCTATATTGAATCATCTCCATTTCTTAATACATTACATCTCTTTATCAAATGTTTACTCCTCTCCTTTATATCATTTTAATGTTACACTATCTCCTTATTATATGACTATTTTATCACACCCTTATACACTACCATTATTATTAACATTACTATGTACATCAAGTATACCTATATATTCTCATGAAAATTAATTATTATATTAATTGTTGTTATTATCAATAACAATTAAAATAGTCTTTCTTTTTGAAATTATTCAATTATTATCTAAAGTACACTTTTTATAGCTATTTAAGGTTTCTCATTCTTCCCAAAATATTTTTCTCTCATTTTCAAATCATAATCATTTGTATCATCTAAACCTTATTTAATACAAGTCTTCAAAAAATTCTATAGACCATATATACCTCCTAATTCATTTAATTTTTCAATCTAAATTTTCAATCTCTTCTCTTTAAAATCCTTCTCTTGATCATATTTCATTAAGTTACTTTAAGCTTCTTTCAATATTTAATTTAAATCAAAGATTTCTAATAATTTATTATATTAAAATCCAAAATAATGATCATCATTTTGCTATTACTTATTCTCTTCTTTTTTCCATCCTTTTAAAAGTGTCTTCCATTAGCTTTTTGCCTCCAATATCTATTATAATTTATTCGATTCAATCTCTAATATTTCATCTTTTTTTTAATGCTTCTCAAACTCATTCTCATGCAAACTTTTAAAAACTTGCATTTCTATCATTTAATCTCTCTGATCTGATTCTCTATCATTTTTTAATAAAGGAATTTCTATTAAATATCTCTCATTTTACATACTTTCTTAATTAATATATTATATCAATGTTTCTTAATTTATTTTATTTCATTATACATAATTGAATACATTCTTATTTACAAATCAATAAATTCTTAATTGATTTTGTCTCTATTAATTCATATTTATCTTAAGTATAATAATAAATCACTATTTCTAATTGTCCAATTTACAACATCAATAATCTTTTAATGTTATATAAAGAATAGAATAATTGATGATTAATAAAATATATAATCAATTTAAAGTATGTGTCTGAAGTTATGAAATTCTTTTTACAAGTTAATTAAATTTTATTTAAAACAAAAAATAAATGAATTATTTTAGTATGCTTATGTATATAAATATGAAAATAAAAATATAAAATATAAGTTTAAAATACTTTTGGAAAAGAAAAGTAATAGAAGCTTTTTTTTAGAAATTGGGAAAATTGTTATATTTTAGTTTTTAAGAATAAATAGAATAAGAATCAAGTAACTAGTTAGCTTTTAGGGTCATTTAAATAAATAATCAATTAAAATTAAGTCTTTTTGGATCTAATGTATTGTATTGAGTTGTATATATTAAATAAGAATGGAGTATAAAACTGAATTTATTAGAAAGGATATAATTTATTTAGATTTTGACTTGTAAGGAAATAAATCAAAGATTTGCTGATTGCAGCAATAAAATGTATTTCAATCAAATTATTATAAGAACACTAAAATCATCCAATAAAATGCAAACATTGAATTATAATTTAATATTAAAGTAAATTATACACGTTCTATTTTGCATTATAAATAGTACAAAACCATTAAATATTAAATATACTTCTCTGTGCACTTATGGTTTACATTTGATTTTAGTTTTAAATTCATTTCATTTCTGAGTGAAATTTGATTAAATATTTTTAAAGTTAAAAAGATGAATTCATCTGTTACTAATATTATGGACAAAGCTATGATTTACTTATATCAAATATTAGCCACTTAATCATCGATACAATTGTCTGATAAATATGAGTAATCAGAACACAAGCATACTTCAATTATAGTTTTCTAAAGATATATATCAGAAATCAAAGCTATTTTCATTTATGCTTATGATTACAACTCTTTTATTATTATTTAGTAATAACACTTTCATTTAGATTAATTTACATCCAACCTAAATCATTACTATGAAACAATTAAAAACTTTCTTATTCGCATTCTTGATTCAAATTAAGAAGTGTGTTTGCATTTTATTAATTATGGTCTAGATTTCGTAGAAGAAAAAGTAGAAACAATTCAACATGCCCTTCAATTGCTTGAATTACCTTATTTAAAAAGTAAAATTATCATTTGGATGAACAATCAGTAACTAATCCAACCTAAAGATGGTTATTTAATGATTTAATATTTTAACTAATATGTGTTACTTAAATTTCAGTAGGATATAATAAAAAATCAAGAAGGTTATAAAGACTTTACTTAAAAATAGATAAAATAAGTATAAGAGATCCACAAGGAATTTATTAAATAATTAGAATTGTACGAGTAATATGTACAAATGTATAACATATATTCTTTAATANTAATCAATTTAAAGTATGTGTCTGAAGTTATGAAATTCTTTTTACAAGTTAATTAAATTTTATTTAAAACAAAAAATAAATGAATTATTTTAGTATGCTTATGTATATAAATATGAAAATAAAAATATAAAATATAAGTTTAAAATACTTTTGGAAAAGAAAAGTAATAGAAGCTTTTTTTTAGAAATTGGGAAAATTGTTATATTTTAGTTTTTAAGAATAAATAGAATAAGAATCAAGTAACTAGTTAGCTTTTAGGGTCATTTAAATAAATAATCAATTAAAATTAAGTCTTTTTGGATCTAATGTATTGTATTGAGTTGTATATATTAAATAAGAATGGAGTATAAAACTGAATTTATTAGAAAGGATATAATTTATTTAGATTTTGACTTGTAAGGAAATAAATCAAAGATTTGCTGATTGCAGCAATAAAATGTATTTCAATCAAATTATTATAAGAACACTAAAATCATCCAATAAAATGCAAACATTGAATTATAATTTAATATTAAAGTAAATTATACACGTTCTATTTTGCATTATAAATAGTACAAAACCATTAAATATTAAATATACTTCTCTGTGCACTTATGGTTTACATTTGATTTTAGTTTTAAATTCATTTCATTTCTGAGTGAAATTTGATTAAATATTTTTAAAGTTAAAAAGATGAATTCATCTGTTACTAATATTATGGACAAAGCTATGATTTACTTATATCAAATATTAGCCACTTAATCATCGATACAATTGTCTGATAAATATGAGTAATCAGAACACAAGCATACTTCAATTATAGTTTTCTAAAGATATATATCAGAAATCAAAGCTATTTTCATTTATGCTTATGATTACAACTCTTTTATTATTATTTAGTAATAACACTTTCATTTAGATTAATTTACATCCAACCTAAATCATTACTATGAAACAATTAAAAACTTTCTTATTCGCATTCTTGATTCAAATTAAGAAGTGTGTTTGCATTTTATTAATTATGGTCTAGATTTCGTAGAAGAAAAAGTAGAAACAATTCAACATGCCCTTCAATTGCTTGAATTACCTTATTTAAAAAGTAAAATTATCATTTGGATGAACAATCAGTAACTAATCCAACCTAAAGATGGTTATTTAATGATTTAATATTTTAACTAATATGTGTTACTTAAATTTCAGTAGGATATAATAAAAAATCAAGAAGGTTATAAAGACTTTACTTAAAAATAGATAAAATAAGTATAAGAGATCCACAAGGAATTTATTAAATAATTAGAATTGTACGAGTAATATGTACAAATGTATAACATATATTCTTTAATAAAAGATGTTACATTTATACATGATATACCAAATTCTATCTATTATTTAGCTAAATTCCTTGTGAATTTACCTAAATATACCTCTTAAGAGACTCTTGTAATGATCTCAAAACTCAAACTATATAGACAAAATCAAGTTTATATGCAACTCTAAAAATAAACGAATTAAAAAAATGACGGATATAAATAAGTGATTTTTACTTAGTTAGCTCCCTTTAAAGAGGAGAAGAATAGACATTTTCCAATGAAAAGTTCTCATTGCCAGAAGTAAATGTACATTTATTATAATAGATGTAAAGTCTGTTAAAAACAGAATAATCAGAAGGTACATAAATCAAGCTTTATTTGTGAAAGTTGTAAGAAATACTATAAAATAAATGTAACACTTTGTACAGATAAATGCTTTAAATAGTTTCACCTTAATCCTGCATATTATTTAAAAAGAAACAGAAGAAAAAAGTAAACAAAAGTTGAAGAGTGAAAGTATTTTTTTCTATATATATAATAATATTNATTTTCATTTATGCTTATGATTACAACTCTTTTATTATTATTTAGTAATAACACTTTCATTTAGATTAATTTACATCCAACCTAAATCATTACTATGAAACAATTAAAAACTTTCTTATTCGCATTCTTGATTCAAATTAAGAAGTGTGTTTGCATTTTATTAATTATGGTCTAGATTTCGTAGAAGAAAAAGTAGAAACAATTCAACATGCCCTTCAATTGCTTGAATTACCTTATTTAAAAAGTAAAATTATCATTTGGATGAACAATCAGTAACTAATCCAACCTAAAGATGGTTATTTAATGATTTAATATTTTAACTAATATGTGTTACTTAAATTTCAGTAGGATATAATAAAAAATCAAGAAGGTTATAAAGACTTTACTTAAAAATAGATAAAATAAGTATAAGAGATCCACAAGGAATTTATTAAATAATTAGAATTGTACGAGTAATATGTACAAATGTATAACATATATTCTTTAATAAAAGATGTTACATTTATACATGATATACCAAATTCTATCTATTATTTAGCTAAATTCCTTGTGAATTTACCTAAATATACCTCTTAAGAGACTCTTGTAATGATCTCAAAACTCAAACTATATAGACAAAATCAAGTTTATATGCAACTCTAAAAATAAACGAATTAAAAAAATGACGGATATAAATAAGTGATTTTTACTTAGTTAGCTCCCTTTAAAGAGGAGAAGAATAGACATTTTCCAATGAAAAGTTCTCATTGCCAGAAGTAAATGTACATTTATTATAATAGATGTAAAGTCTGTTAAAAACAGAATAATCAGAAGGTACATAAATCAAGCTTTATTTGTGAAAGTTGTAAGAAATACTATAAAATAAATGTAACACTTTGTACAGATAAATGCTTTAAATAGTTTCACCTTAATCCTGCATATTATTTAAAAAGAAACAGAAGAAAAAAGTAAACAAAAGTTGAAGAGTGAAAGTATTTTTTTCTATATATATAATAATATTGTTCGGTTTTAAAAAAATTCATTTTTCACAATTTGGTTAAATTTTACCCTTTAATATGTCTTAAACAATATTATTATTTTAGTATTAATTATTAGCAATTATATTAAAAAATTAAGTTTTAAACTGAATTAATTAACATTAATATTTAAAGGGTTAGAGCTTATAATGCATATTTTAATTGAAATTTTTATTTAAAATATTTTAAAATTTATATCCAAAGAATTAAATTATATTGATTCATAAGAAATAAAGTTTCTTTTTCAAAATGATTTATGTAAGAAAAAACATTGTTATCTTTTTATCAATCGGTTTGTTGAATTATGAAGTTAAGCAAAATTATTTTTAGCCATTAATAACATTTTTTACAATCAAAAACTTTTTGATGTTTAATATTCACTTCTAACAAACTTTCTTAAGCTAATATTTGCAGATAAAAAAGTGAATAATTTTAGCATATTTATTTCTCAAGAAAAAATAATTAAACTAATTCAAATAACAAAAAATTATATTTACCGACTGCACACAATCATTGTAAAAAAGATATAAAATTAGCTGTCGAGAATTAAAAAACTACTAGTCTTAGATTTGTTATTTTTTAATAGCCTAAAATTATTTTGTATTCTTCAATATATATATTATATAATTACAATTCACTTAATTTTAGAAGTTTATCAATATTTTTTTTTCTTTTTTCCCTTTATATATAGCCTCATGTCGACTTATATCTTAAAATTTGAAAACATTCTATGAAAATGAAAATTATCATAATATCTATTCAAATATAATTAAATAAAGTTTTTACAACCTTTAGGTATTTCCTTAGACCATAATTCAACTTCCAAATATCCATGTGAAGTATCTATTATTACTTTACCTGATGTTTATTTAAAAGACATTAATTTCAATTTAATTATTATAATAATTTGATAATAATCAATAATGACAGAGAAATCCCAGAGAAAATCAAAGTTTGTTTTATTGTTTAATGACCAAAAAAGTTTATGAAAGGCTTTAGACAAAAGGCAATTATTATACAATAACATATCTGAACAAGGTTTTAATTCAAGTACACTCCCAAAAACATTGATGTTATAAATATTAAGTAAAACATAAGTAAACATACTCCCATTAAGGTTTTTGAAACTTAAATATTTATGATAATTACTAAATAACATTAAGTCATCAAATAAATCAATTATTAAACATGAGGACAAAATTATGATGAAAATAGATAGTATGAGTTTTTCTTAAACTCCTGTTACATATCCAAATATTATCTATAAAATAACTAACTAACCTATCATTAAATTTATTTTCCTTTAAATTAATTAATCAGTTTTTTGTTGAGAATCAAAAGCATCTGAATTTTCAATCAATCCTTGAGAATGAATAGTCTTAAAATTCGGTGATTGTTAAGATTCATCTATTTAACCAAAATGTCTAGCATTTGCCAATTATTTATTACTGTATTAAGAAAACATTATTTTTTCAGGCTTTTTTCCATCGATTGTCTAAATTAACAGATTATGATACAAATTATAATTTATTTAAAAGGTCCGATTGATTATTTAAATAACTACTCTTTACATCTTCTATAGATCTCATTTTTTCTATATTATTATTACGAATGTAGCTTTCTATTTTCAAAATCTCATCATTTTTATCAAAAACATATTCTGAAACATTTTTTGGTTAAAAAATAATTTGAGGAGCTTAGTTTTCAGAAGAAATTGCTAAATTGTTGTTATCTTCATTATTTTAAGGCTCTTGATTTTTGATTTAAATAATTAAATATACTTCTATGAGCAATAATACAATAGGAACTAACAACACCATTTTAAATTTCACTGAAAATTCTTGATTCACATATGCAATTAGATTTTCTTTCTCATCATTTTAAAGCTAATCTATCAAATGTATAATTTTTAAATATTGATGACTCTTTTTAAATTATTTTTGTTCAAATTCTAATCCATTTGAAATAAGTAAAGGGAAAAATATAATAATAGATGATTAAAAAAGCAATCTTCTAACAAAGTTTAATATATATTCTGCTATTAATTCATGTTTAAACTACTTAATTGAATATACTAAATAGGTAATCCAAATGAATGCTAAACTAACAATTAAGTTTATAATAAATATCATAATTTATAATTAATATTTTAATAAGGGTATTTCATAATTAAAAAAAAAAAACTAATTTTTGCTCAAGGAATAATTTTCAATCTCTCTCGAAATTTACTTTCTTCTTGAACAATTACTTTAGTTTATAAACATAAATATGTTTTTTTCTCTCTTTGAAAGAGACACTTCATGTTTTTTCATATTTTAAATAATCAATTTTTTTTCTGATAATGTTTATATAAATTAAAAATACAAAATATGAGGTTATCTACTGAGGAAAGTTAAGAGAATGATGAATAATTAGAAGATATCAAAAAGAAATTCATTTATTAAACTGAAAAGATGAGATTATTATTGGAAGTACCTATAGAAAGGCGAAATAAAGCAATTTGTTAAGATATCGCTTAGATTGCTGGAGTAAAATTTGTAATGATTATAAAAAGGAAATTCAATTTCTCAAACAATACAGAGATAAGCCAAATTTTTTAGACTTATGTAAACATCTGTTTCTAAAGACTTATAATAAACGAGAATATATATTTTAATAAGGTGAAACAGGTGATGCTTTTTATGTTATTTTAAGTGGAAGTGTAAAGGTGTATATAGAGGAGCCAACAGAGTTTAGAAATTTTATGTAATTGGTAAAATATACATTACGATATAGAAAGAAATCGCAATTTTATAGAAAGGAGATGCTTTTGGAGAAATTTCTTTACTTTATAATTCTAAACGAACAGCTGCAGTAATGGCAGCAGAAAAAAGTGACTTAATTATTTTGACAAAAGAGAATTTTGAAGAATATTTAAAGAATGATAGCAAATAAGAAATGTAGACAGCAAATTTAAATAAATTAATTCAATTCCTTGAAAAGGTTCCAATTTTTAAAATGTTTTCAAAATCTTTATTAGTTTAAATCTGTACAAAATGTACAATTGAACATTACTCTTCCTAATAAATTTTAATTAAATAAGGAACTGAACCTTCTAATATGTATATAATAAAATAGGGATGTGTGAAAGTAATTAGAAAAATAAAACTAAATTATGGTAGTATGACATCAAGAGAGGAATTGATGTAAAAAAAACAAGATCTATTTTATGACATTGATGAACTTAGTGATTATGATGTTTTCGGAGATTATGCAATATTAAATGAAATAGAATCTGATTGTTCTTACATTACAGCCATTCCTTGTTAAATTATAACTATAAGTTCATTTAATGTTAGAAAACTTCTACCTATGGACATTGTGTAAATATATAAATCATAATTAAAACGATATCCTGATGATGAAGATCTTTAGTATTTATTTGAAGAAAAAGAGAGGTGGAATCATTATAAGAGAAAGCTAATTCGAAATATTAAGATAGAGAAATAGAATAAGAAAGGTTTTGATTTAAGATTGAGATTGCCAGAATTAAAAACAAAAGAACTATCACCACCAATAAATATCGTTGATATCAAAACTAGTGATAGTAGAATTTACTTTAAGTTCTTGGAATCTAAGATTAGTCCTTTAGCAGATAGTAAAAAGAAAGTTTCTTAACTAACTTAGGTAGGATTTAATTCTTAAATAATTAAAGACTTAGAATTATCATAAGCATAATAAGCCTTTTAAAGAAAACTCAAAAAATTATAATACAAAAAGTATTGAATCAGAATATGTATTTCAACAATATTTTAAATTCATTTATTTTTTGTAGTTATATTTTTATTTCATTAATAAGTTATTAAATTATTTTATAATTATTCTTAGAATATGTCAGTCTAATTAATGATACATCAAATAATTAATAACAGATTTTTCTGTAGAAAGATTGAATAATGATTAAAGTAGTTTTACGATTTCATTTATTACAATTAATTTATTAATCAAGATGGGAAGCAAATGTGCAACATGTTAGAATTGTTAGAAAAAAGAAGAAGTTTTGATAAGTTAAGAAGAATAGCAATCATCTGGATAAATGAATCAATATTCATAATAACCTAATGAAGAAGATGATGTTGAAGATAGTATGTGTTTTACTATAATTATTAGATCTTGAAAATAAGAATTTAGAGGGTTCTAGTCATATAGTGTAAAAATATTTGAACTTGGATTTAAAACCAAAAAAAGAAGTTGCTCCAATATAGGAAGTTCCAGTCTAAAATATTGAAATTCCACAAGCATAAATTGTAATTACAGTTGGTAAATGAATTGTATATGATAAGAGTCAAACTAAGATAGTAAAAAACGAAAAAATGAGATGATGTTAAGAAATTAAGAAGACATGCATGAAACTTATATAAGTAAGTCTGAAAACTCAGTGAGAGAAAGGAGACCTCGACATATATTTAAGGTATAAATTTCTTTAATAGGAAAATTAGAGTGGAGCATATTATGATGGAGAATGGATTGGTTAAAGTAGAGATGGATATGGTATATAAATTTGGAATGATGGGGCTAAGTATGAAGGTGAATGGAAGAATAATAGAGCTAATGGTAGAGGTAAGTTTTGGCATATAGATGGTGATTTCTTTGATGGAGAATGGAAAAATGATAAAGCATATGGAAAAGGTATTTATATTCATTTGAATGGTGCAAAATACGAAGGAGATTGGATGGATGATTTATAACATGGATTTGGAATTGAAACATGGGCTGATGGTTCAAAATTTGAAGGATAATATTAAAATGGAAAAAAAGAAGGATATGGAAAATACTTTTGGTCAGATGGTTCTTCTTATGTTGGGAATTGGAATGAAAATAAATTGAGTGGATTTGGTGTATATACTTGGCCTGATGGAAGAGTATTCTTATAGATTATTTAAGAAATATTTAGGACTATGGGCAAATAATTAAATGAATGGTAGAGGTACTTATTTTTGGAAGGATGGTAGAAAGTATGAAGGTTATTATTAGAATGACAAAAAACATGGTTATGGAATCTATACTTGGCCAGATGGAAGAGTATTATAATTTTATTATTAAGCAATATGAGGGATATTGGTAAAATGGAAAATAATCTGGAAAAGGTAGATATGTATTATAGAATGGCAAAAGCTAACTTGGATTATGGGAAGATGGAAAAAGAATTAAATGGTTAGATTAATCAGAATAAAATATGGATATTAGTCCTAAAGATTGGAATGCATATGTTTAGCCATCTATACTTTCATGATTTTTTTAAATTAATTATTTTACTATTCAACTTAAAGATTATTATCATACTAAATTAAAATCAAATCAAACTTTCTTTTTTTTATTCTTTGATTTATTTTCCTAATCTTTATTAAATAGTATAAATAGAAACTATTTAATTAAATAAATATAATAACAATACTCAATTTACTTAAGATTGAATAATTCATTGACTGATTTTATTTCCAATAGATTTATAATTCAATTAATAAAATAAAATTACAAAGAAATTCTTTTTTTTCTTAAATTATTTTCTTAAATAAATCTATATTATAGTATTATTAATTTAATAAATATAATTTGGGGTACCTCAATTGATTGTTTATTTAATTATCTATATTAATGTTCAATATAGAATTATCAATATTTTTATGTATAAAATGAAATAATTACAATAGCATAAGTGATCTTCTGTGATTCAATATTTGTCTAGTATTGTATTTGAGTTATGAAATAGAAAAAACAAATATTTAAAAAGCAAACCTATATATATCCATTTGATGAAAGTAATGAGAAAAATGAAAGACTCTAAAGAATGTTTAATTGGATAGCACAATATTGAAAGAGATTTCATATTATAATGAATAGTAATTACAAGAATTGATAAATTTAGTATAATGTTGCAATTTAATTAAATCAATGAGTGATGACGATTCTAATCAGGTTATTCTAGCAATAACAAAAGTAGGATGCATGATTACTTTTTTTATGTTAATTCTGATTGTAGGAAGTCTGCCAATCAGATTGAAAGCATTCAAATCAAATAAGGTAGAAATAACATATGAAAAGATTAGAAACTTTTGGCATATATGGGAGCATTTTCTGGAGGATTATTTTTAGCAGTAGGTTTAGTTCATTTGTTACCAGAGGCAGCAGACAATTTTGAATAGGCTTATGATGATGATGAAGAGCATTTTCCATTTGCTTATGCTATATCTATAACTAGTTTTTCGCTAATACTTTTTATCGAGAAAATAATAACAGACCATCATCATGATCATGGACATGAAGATGAGCATCATCATCATGAGAGCAATTCCAAAAATACTTAAGTTTAAGATTAAAATCAACTCTTTGTTAATGGAAGTGTAGACACAGTAGCATTATTAGAAAACAAGAATAATGAAGAATAATTTAAGGATGCTTTAAACAAATAAGTATTAAAATAGTCAAAATTGTTAGTTGATTGTAGCAAAAAAAGCATCATTTGTACAAATGGTGAAAAAATCAATAGCTTAAGATCCAAAAAATTCGATTATATATTAAGATGTTAATACATGGGCTCCTTATATATTATAAATAGCTGTTGGTATTCATGCAGTTTTTGAGGGATTATCAATAGGTATTTAAGAAGAAGTTTCTTTATGTATTGGTATAGCATTAGTAGTATTATGTCATAAATGGGTAATTAAAAAATATTATATAATAGGCTGAGGGTATGACATTAGGACTTGCATTTAGAAAAGCAGGTGTAAACTAGAAAACTTCAACTTATATGATATTGATTCAATCAATAATGAATCCAGTTGGAATAGGAATTGGATGGATAATGGCAGATAAAGGACCATTATATACAGGCATATTTGTATCAATTTCAGTGGGAACTTTTATTTATATTTCCACAATGGAGACATTGACAGAAGAATTTTCAATTTCATAATACAAATGGGAAAAGTATTTTATATTTGTGGTTGCAATTATATTCGTATCAAGTTTGTGGTTTGTAGAATAAGCAGTTGGAGGAGATTGAATGATTTTTCATATTAATAATAATATATCATAAATGATAATTAACTCGATATATCTAAGCATAATTTATTTCAATAATTTATTTAATTATGGATTAAAAACTTAGTGATGCTGAAATAGCACTTGAACAATTCAGACTAAAGAAATTAATTAAAACTTTGAGTTAGGAAAGAACTGCAGGAACAAGTGTTGTGTCTGTTTATATACCTCCTAAAAGAATCATTTCAGATATTACAAACAGACTGAATACCTAGTATGCAGAAGCAGCTTCTATAAAAGATAAAGCAAACAGAATATCTGTGTAAGAAGCTATTTAAGCAGCCATTCTAAGTATTTAAATAATTTATTGAAGGACTAAGACCATACAATAAGGCTCCTAATAATGGATTAGTTGTATTCTGCGGTATTGTTTAATAAGCAGATGGAAAAGGAGAAAAGAAAATATCAGTTGTTATTGAACCTTATAGACCATTAGATTTATCACTCTATTTTTGTGATCCCTAGTTTCATGTTGATGAACTAAGAGCCCTCCTAAATATAGATCCACCTTTTGGATTTATTATTATGGATGGTAATGGATCCTTGTTTGCTACAATACAAGGAAACAGTAAATTAATTATAAAATCATTTGATGTTGATTTACCAAAAAAACACAACAAGGGAGGTCAATCTTCAGTAAGATTTGCACGTCTTCGTATGGAAAAAAGACATAATTACTTAAGAAAAGTATGTGAAACTGCTACAACTTGTTTCATTGCTGAAGACAGACCAAATGTAAAAGGTTTGGTTTTAGCAGGTTCAGCTGATTTCAAAAATGATTTAGCTGGAAGTTAATTCTTTGATAAGAGATTATAACCATTAATCATTTCAGTTGTAGATATCAATTATGGTGGAGAATAAGGATTGAATCAAGCAGTTTAATTAAGTTAGGAATCTTTATTAGAAGTTAAATATATTAGAGAAAAAAATTTAGTTGGTTAATTTTTTGAGAATATTGATAAAGATACAGGTTTAGTAGTTTATGGTGTTTAAGACACTATGAGAGCTGTTGAAGCATAAACAATCAAAACTTTAATCTGTGTAGATACTTTATAATATTTACGTTTGGAATGTTAAAGCAAATAAACTGAATGTATATTATCATATATTTAATTATTAGAAAAGTCTATTAAATATATGAAAGGTAATGAAGGATATGAGACTGGTACATTAATTGAAGAAAAAAATGGTGAATAATTTGTTATACTTGTGAAAGAGGATTTGGTTGAACATCTATCTGAGAAATTTAAAGACTATGGATTAGATTTTCAATTAATAACTGATCATAGTGTTGAAGGTAATTAATTTATGAAAGGTTTCAGTGGATTAGGTGGATTTTTGAGATTTAAAATGGATATGGATTATTTGGTTTAATAAGAAGATTGGAAGGATGAAGATGAAGATTTTATTTGATTATCATGATATTTTGTTTAAATAAATTTACAATATTTATCTTTGTATAGTGATATACTTAATGATATCAAGTATTTTTTTTTGGTTTTTTCATTAATTATTCCATAGTTTTTTAAAACTTTTTAAATTCAGCAGGATTTCTATTTTATTAGCAATCTCTCCATGAATTGGCAGTGTTATTAAAAATAAGTAAAGGCGATTTGATTTCTGATTTGGTAGGTGTACTTTATCTTAGACTTGTTGAAGGACTTTAAGGTCTGGTAGTATAAATGAATGGATTAGAATTATGTATTTTAGGACTAATAAATTTTGAGGAGAGCATATGATCCTTATAAAATTGAAATGATGATTCAGTTTTATTCATTAGTATTTTGTTAAGATCCATAAAATTATTGTATTTAAATTTAGATTCAGGCAAGTAGAGTTTCTTATAGTCTCTTTCATATTTTTTAATTTCTTCTTAGAGGATTAATTTGTCTTTTCTACAAGTGTCTAAGTCTTACATGAGTTTGGCATTAGAGTCTTACAAGTGCTGTATTTAAATGGTGAGTTCGGAATTCTTTCGTTGTAACTACTGAACCTGGGATTCAAGGTTCTGTTGATGAATGGGATCACTGTTACTTAGCATTTTGATATTTGGTCAATCAATCTTAGATTGCTAGCCATGACTTATTAGAGTATGACTTCATAATTTTGTTCTTCCAAAAAGGATTCTCTAATACTTCTTTCTGTCACTGTTTTACTATTGAGTCTTGCAAAAGATGTAGAAGAATCAATAAGATTTTATCCAACTAAGAATTTTTGAAAATATTCATGTTATTGTACATCTGCAAAAGAAGTAGTATTGGATTGTGTATTCATTTATTTAATAACTGAATTAATTTTTGAATGAGTGAAATCAATGAATCTGTAATTGAGGCTCCTTTAAAAGCCTTACTTGAAGATGTATAAACTTTTATAGTAATCAAAAGGTATTATTCTCTTTAGAAGGGTATTTGGAAGGTTAAAATGATTTAAAGATGATTGAAAATCAATTAAAAGATTATGACACATTAGTTGGATTAGTTAAAATAATAGGAAATGTTTTTAAAACTTTAATGAAGAAAGTAGATAAGAAGATGAATCAATTAAAAATGAACATTAATGATAATAGTTCTTATAGAAGTCATCATCCAGAAGAAGAATATGAAAAATTAGAATAAATTATATAAAAACATGAAGCAGAAATTAGAGGTCATATTAGTGTAAGAGTCTCCATAGTTATCTAAGATTGAATAATAATTGAAATTATATAATGAGAGTTTACAATAAAAAATTGAAGATATGGAAAAATAACATAAAGAGACAATTGATTAAATGAATAAACAAATGCATATATTGAAAAAAGATTTAGGCAAATCAACTGAGAGTTATCGTTAATTAATTAAACAAAATGAACATTTGAAAGAATCTGTAGAACATCTTCCAAAAGCAATCATGCATACTGAAGGAGAAGTTAATGGAAGAATTAAAGACAAAAAGTAAATTGTATAAATTTATTAGTTTTGTCATTCAGATCATAGATTAAAGAAGGTAGATTACAGTAGTGAATATCCTACATCAAGTATTAATATATAATCTCAAAATTCAATTAGACATTCAACTCCATTTAAATCTTAATCTTAACATCATAAATCAGTCAAACTCAATAATTAAATATAACATCGCAATACTTAAGAATAAGATTTATTTATTAAATATAATCACCTCTTAAAATAACATGCTTAATCTATTACTTAAAGATCTTAAATTATATAAGCTAGCCAATATTTATTAAAAGGAGGCTTTGCTAATCATAATAAGTAAAGAAGTACTCTTAATGTTATCTCTGACATTTGTAATGCACAATTACATAAATCTTCACAAAGAAATAAAAGTCAAGGAAATAGTGCTAAAGCTGCAAATACTAATTCTTAAAATAATATTAATCCTAATAATAAAACTACTACATAAAAAATTATATCAGAAACTTCGAAAACTAATGAAGCCATTTAAAGATTACTTAAACTTAAATGATTTTATTATTTATGCATTTCAATTTTATAATACATTAATATTCAAATCATTTCATTTATACTTTTTTAAGTCCCTTAAACTCTTTCATCTACTAATTTATTTATATAACCATTTCCTATATTATTCTTTATTATTCTATAACCTATCTCTTATCTTTACAACTAAAAATAAAACAATTTAATTCTATTAATCATACTTTATCTAACTTTTTTAATACCTTCTCAAAATATTCCATCTTATGTTCTCTTTTCTAATCTTTATTTTCTAATAATAATATTTGAATGAAATAATTCTTATCAATTTCTTTTTCTTCTAATAAAATTTTAATATCTCCATTTGAAAATCTATAATAATCTGTATCATTTTTTTCTAAATTGTCAAAAACTTGCTCCATTAATTAGTTTAATTTCAGGAAGATATGAAATAGTATGAATAGTTAATTTTATTTCAGTACGACCTGTTACTAATTTTATTTACATTAATTTTCAACGAAAATGATTAATTTTAACTTTTTATAATTTTTAAGTTAATAAATATATTAAACTTATAATTAAACATTTCTTTTGGTAATCATGTAATTCATCTGTAATTTATTATTTATTTTCTTTATTTAAATTCTTAATTCCTACATATTCTATTGATAAACTTTACTATTAATGGAATTAAATTGAAAATCTTTTAATATTTTTGGTTGTTTTAATTTATCAATATATATAAGTTAAGTTATATTTTCTATAAGATAGAAGATTAATAATTAATAATAAGTCTATTTGAAAATAATTTAAATGATAACGTTTATGAGATTATTTCAGATTTTTAAATTCTTGTTTAAATAATAGGTAAATTTGTATCTATACACATTCTAATAGATTGATGTTAATTATTGGATTCAATAGAAATAATTTTGTAAGAATTTAAATGTAAATTTTTTGGAGTGTAGGGAGTTTCAAAATTAACGAAATTTTGTCCTTTACATTTTTTATTAATAATAATTATATAATTTGAAGTAAAATGGAATTTAATGATTTTTCTAAACTAATTTCAGAAGAAGATGAATTAGTTTAAATATCTAGAGCATAATTAGAATAATTAATTCTAAAACATTAGCTACCTGAAGTAGTTCCTGTTTAAAAAAAATCCTGCAAAAAAATTGTAATAAAATAAGCCGCCAAGAAATAAAAACCATATTAATTTGCAGATGTTCATTATTGGACAATAACATAATTTGATTGGGATGGAAAAGTATTAGAAGCATTAAAAGGAGGATTTGGAAAAGAATAATTTAAAGCAAATTAAAAAGCAATAATAAATTGTGTTTTAGCAGGAAAAGATGTTTTTGTTTGTATGCCTACAGGATATGGTAAAAGTATAACATTTTAAATACCAGCATTTGTAGAAAATGGTATATTATAAAATGATATTTAGGTGTATAGATAGTAGTAATGCCATTGATTTCATTGATATTTGATTAAGTATAATATTTAACAAGTCTTGGTATACCAACACTAAATATGAGTGGTTCAAATAAATTATTAACAGCTTAATAAATTTTGGACTAAAAAATAAAGTTAATTTATACTACTCCTGGTATAATTATTTAAAATATATAAAATAGAAAAAATTGAAAAATCAGAATAATTTAAATAAATATTATGTGATCTATTTAATAGAAAATTAATAAAAAGATTTGTAATAGATGAAGCACATTGTGTAAGTAAATGGGGAAGAGATTTTAGACCAGATTATTTAAAATTAAGTAACGTTAGAAATGAATATCCAAATATTCCAATTATTGCATTAACTGCTACAGCACCAGAAGAAGTTAAAGAAGATATTATAGAAGTATTGTAAATTAAAGGCTGTTTATATTTATAATCTTCATTTAATAGACCTAATTTAATATATGAAGTAAGATTAAGAGAAGAATTTAAAAAAGCTGTCTAAGAAATTAAAGAATTTATTAATTCAACATATCCAAAATAATCTGGAATTATATATTGTTTAACTCAATCTGAATGTTAAACTTTATCATAAAATCTTAATTATCATGGTTTAGGATCAGACTTTTATCATGCTGGTCTTACTGAAAAAGAAAGACATAGAATTCATAAAAATTGGTTAATGAATGAAGTACAAGTAATTGTTGCAACTGTAGCTTTTGGTATGGGAATTGATAAAAAAGATTGTAGATATGTAATACACTTTTAAATGCCAAAATCAATTGAAAATTATTATTAAGAGAGTGGTAGAGCAGGAAGAGATGGAAAATAAGCACATTGTCTATTATTTTATAATAATTCTGACTATAAAACTAATTTAGTAATTTTATATATATTATTTATTTATAGTATCTAATGGATTAAAATACAGAAATAACAGCTTAAATTAAAAAATATAATGTTAAAAAATTAGATTAAATGTAATAATTCTGTTATGATCGAATTTCATGTAGAAGAGTCTTATAATTATCATATTTAGGTGAAAATTTTGATCCAACTTTATGTAATAAAAAATGTGATAATTGTCAAAGGGATGATGAAAATGCTGAAAAAATTAATTTAACAAATGAAGCACTCAAAATTCTTGATTGTTTAGAAAAATATCCATTAACAGAAAATTAATTAATTTAGTGTTTAAAAGGATCTCAAGACAAAAAAAAAGCTCTTAATTCATAAAAAAATATTGAATAGATTTTTGGATTATTTAAACAAAATCCTCGTTATATTAATCCTTTATTAGATTAATTAAGAGCTTAAAATGCTTTAAGTCAAAAAGTATAATGTTACAATCTCAAAGGTAATTTTAAAAATAAAGTTGTTTATTTAACTCCTAATACTTAAACATCTATTAAAAGTGTCATAGTAACCATTCCCAAAGAAAAAGAAAAAAAATCATCAGTTTTAGATTAAAAAACAAATGATCTTTTTAAAAAGTATTTATCGAAAGAAAATAATAATTAAAATAATAATGAAATTAATTTATAAATCAACCAAAATTATACTTTACAAGATTTTACATTTTAAAATGGAAGTAGAATTGAAACTGAATAAAAAAAATTATACTACGATAAACAATATGGTTATTGTTTAGAAAGTTAATTTAATGATTTAAGAGAAAGATTAATGTTAGTTCGTAAAAATATTTATAAAGAAATGACCAATGATGCAACAAATTAAATTATTAATATTGATTTAGTTTTATCAACTGATGATATTGAGGAATTATGTAAAAAGCTTCCTATTTCTATGAGTGAATTAAATGATTCATTTATTTGCATAGCTTAAGAAATTAAAAAATTATAATATATGAAACATTTTATAGAAGAAGTTGCACATTTCGTAGATATTGAAGAAATTAATAAATTATTGTTTGAAAAGCGTAAATATATTAATTATCTTAGCTAAATAAATTGAAACTCAAATTGATTAAGTTTTTGAATTTTAAAAACATATAAGACAAGAAGATGATGTTGTTGATATTACAAACTAAGAAATTATTGGTAAATCATTCATTTAAAATTTTAGCTAAATAAAAAGTGATAGAAGAGCTATTAATTGATGGCTATGAACATGATGATTTTATAGATGGAGTATAAAATTCCTTAATTTTAGTTATTAAACTTAGAAAATGAAGATTATAAGAGGAAATCACCTGATATTGTTATCATAGATGATGACAATATTTAAGATTATAAAAAACCACAACCCTTATAAAATTTTGAGCCTATTCAATAAAAGCAATTTTAATAAGATAAACATACTGATAAAATTGAAAATAATTAACCATCCAGAAAGTTAAAAATTAATTTAAAAAGATAATTTTTGTGAAAGGTTAATTAATATTTTATATATATTTTTTATTTATTATCTGATAACTCAAGTATATTATTTTAAATTTTTTCAGAAAATTATATTTTTTACAAGAAATGCTTTCTCTAAATATATTGAATTATTTATTTTTAATAAATAAAAAAAAAATATTTAAAAAATAATAAATATATATTAGTCTAAATATAAAAATACCATTAATTTTAAAGTATTATAAATGCAACTAAAAAATTATAGAAACCGTTATTTTGCATTTGAACAATGAATATCGTTTTATCAATTTTAATATTTTCTATTCCTTTAATTAACCAAAATAAATTTAATGATATAATAGAAAAGTAAATAGATAACAAAAGACATTTATTTCAAAAAATGCAAAATTCTAACTTTGATTAATATTTCAAACTAAAAAATTAATTTTTAAAAGTAATATGAATGCAATACCAAGTACCTGAAGGAACAACTAATCATTAAATTAATCATAAAAAAAAATGTCTTAATTAATAGGATTGCATTAAAATATTTCGAGATTGATTGTATTTAATCCTTTAAAATTTACCAATATTATAAATAATCAGTTCAAAAATTGATATTATATTGTTCATTAATGAAAGCTAATTTACAAAAAATGTTTATCAATTCAGAATTCAAAAGATAAAGAAAGAACTCACAAAAATCAATTAATTGGAGCTAAAATGAATCTTTTATCAAGTTTGAAAGAATTTCAATTAGATAAAATAAAAGAATTCTAAACTAATAATCTTTTAAAAAATCCATTTTATTTTTGGATTTTTTATTTTTTCTAAAGTTTAAATTTTTAAATATAATTTTTTTGGGTGCAAAAAATCAATCAGAAAAAATATGAAAAATTTTCTTTAGATTTCATTTAAATCACATCTAAAATTTTGAGAACTCATTTATTTTTATTTATAAAATTTATTTAAGCAAAACAAAAATAAATTTCATGTAATTTTTCATGAAACCTTAAATTTAAATATTTAGTGTAAGATATATAGAATTGAAAATCCTCTATAAAATTTACAAGTTATTTATTAAGTTATATTAAGCAATTTCATTAAAAGTCTTCTTTTATAAATACTTATTATTTTAAAATGATCTAAATTATTTTATGATAAAGGCTATGAATTACTTATACTTTATAAATAAAATTTAGGATGGACAGGATATTCTAGAAAATAAAACAACATCATGGGGCTATGAAAATAAATTTTTTAATTCTTTTTTATGTATTTTAATTTTTAAATAATTATAGAGAGATACATTGATGTTATTATTTATAGATGGATGCACATAATCAAAAAAATATAATTTAATTGACCAACCTTATATAATAACATAATCTTATGTATATTTAGTTTTATTTATAATTCCAATTCAAGCATTAATATATAAAAAGAAAATGTTAAATTATATATTAAATTATTTTAATTGTGAGATTTCATGAAAATAGAAAGAGTTATCACATACATATTTTTCTTGTTGATTGCATATGATGTTTTAAGACCTGTACCATAAATTCAGTAGAAGACATAATAATAATAAGAAGAATCTTAAACTGAATAAACATAAACACATTAAGAGTAGGATTTGTAAAAAGAAAGAACAATTTAAGAAGATATTGATTTAGAAAATGCAGAATACATTGAATCAACATTACCAATAAATATTGAAATATTTTATTGTAATCGTACAGGATTACATACATAATATTAAGAATTGGAAAGGAATATCTATTTAACATTTCCAAGAAATAAAAATTTGAATGTAAATCCAGGAGAATATCCAGTGCCAGAAATAAATTAATAATTATCAAAGGTTATTAAATAACAAATGATATTTTTAGTTTGTTAATTATGGTTAATATGCATTGATGGCAGCTATGTTTTTCCATAAATAATTATTTGGAATGTTATCTATACCTGTACCTTCAATAGTTGAAAAAATAGTGGAAAAGAAAATGTTTGTTTTGATTGGAGCAATTTTCCTTGTCCAATAAATACAAAATTCTCTTCTTACAACAGGTAAAATGATGGTGTATGTGGATTCAAAACTAATTTTGGATTAAGCAGCTCCCATATAAGCAGATTAAGTGTTTTAATTAATAAAAACTGAGTTATTATAATTATAATGAAACCAATATTTCGTGGAGTCTTAATTATGAAATACACTGACAATTAAGAAGAAGTTACTTTTGATTAACTTAAAGAGTATCTTAAGGAATAAGGAAATTACAATGAAGAAACATTCTCTTAAAATGTAGACATTTTCCAATAATTAATTGATGATCTTATATAAAATGATTCAGAGCAAACCTATGAATAATATGTTATTAATTATTAATATTCTTTTAGGGAATATCAGCTTAAGAATTACATTAGACTTGGTTAAATGAAAAAGATAGAGTTTTATCATATTATTTAAAAAAGAAGACTTAAGGTTAAAAAGTAATTACCTCTTTTTTTTAAATTAGATTGAGAAATTTTAATGGTCTGTTAATAATTAATTCTATTCTAAAAAAGCTAAAAATATAAACAAACCTGTTTGCATTATGAATTTGAAAGTATGAATTCTAAAAATTTTCATAGTCTAAAGATGTTGTTAGTAAAACATATAAATTTCATACATTTGAAATAAATGAAGAAGATTTGAATTATATTGACGATTAATTAAAAAAAATAGAGTAAACTATTAATGCTTTGCTTTTGTGATAGATAAATATCATAAAACCAATATTATATTAAATAATCTATAATCATTTAATTTTGATACTTGATCTAAATTTTGCACTTAACAGTGAACTAATGAAACTATAAAATTTATTCATCTTTTTTCTTACAAATTTCTATATTTTTTTAGCTGCAATTTATTAACCCATTTCTACTTTCTTTCTCATTAAATCTTTAGAATCAAAATAATTAGCTAGATGTTGTAAACAATCTAATTAACTTTTAATTAATTCAACTTCATGAGTAAAATCATCCTTTTTTATATATTATCTGTTAAAATTCTCTGAGTTTATAATTACAGCGTCTCTATTTTATAATTATTATTATTTTTATTTTTCATCATGTAACTTTTAGAATGTAGATCCTTAAGGAATTCTATGATAAAATTAAATTAATACATGTCTTATAAATATAATCTACTATTAAGAAGATGATTAATATTTCTGATAATACACATGTATTTGTCAGTCATTTAGACAAAGCTTAATTAGCTACTTTAAAGAGATAAAAATTTAGTTTCAATAAAATTTTCAAGTTCTTCAAATTCATTAAACAAAGTTTCTAATCCAATTTCAACTAAAAGTTCTTTTACTGGCTTTTATTAATTAATTAACTAATATATAAATAAATAATACTCTTTTATAGGCTTCAGTCACAAGAATAAATGGTTATTAAGATGGATCAAATATAAATTGTTCTTCAATAAGGTGAGGCAATTAAGTAAGATTTTATATTTTTAAATTTTTAGTAAAAAATCCATTTTCACTTGCTATAGTATAGAAAGAATCAATTGAAACTCCAGTTCCTGTAAATGAATAAGCTTCTCTATAAAGTGTAGATAATTCCAAATCTGTAATTTTAGGATAATTGCTAATAAGAACAATCCTAAATTATTTAAAACTAATGTTAGTTGCCCTACTTCCAAATGCAATTTTAAACATCTTGTATCTATTCCTTCTTTCAACTCTATAAAATTCTAATAAAATTCTTAATACAAAAGCAGCTTCAATTATAAATAAATTTTTATTTTATATTTTTCTTACTGCTCTTTCTTTAAGTACTCTCTTTACTTATTATATTGTAGATACTTCATATTGAGAAAACAAATGAGTAACAATAAAATCAGCTTATAATAATGGAATATAATGATGAGGTTCATAGAATGCTTAATGATTTTAACATTAAGGACCTCTAAATAATAGATTTCTTGCATATAAAAAAAAGTATATTTCATCATGTGATGAAAAATCATTTAAAAATTCTTAAAATGTTATACATTCCCAATTCTTCTCTAATACAGGATTAGAAAAATCTACTATGAACTTGACTATTTAATCATCTACACGTTAATTATCAATTTCTATTTTTTTAACACATTTATGATTGTAATCAATTTTAAAATTCATTAACCAAGAATACACAAATTCTGGAAATCTTGATTATTAATTCATTTATATTTCATTCCATTTTGCATCTAAAATATGTCTCATTATCACTAGTAATTATAAACTGGGCCTTTTATATTATAAACCTGCAAATTCACTTTCTAAAGTTTTCTTATGATGTTCTATAAAAATTACAAAAGGTGAAAAACCTATTGTAAATTTATCTAATTAAATATCTTGAGAATTAAAATGAGATTCCATTTGAATTATACTATGTCCAGTTCTTTAAACAATCCTTCCTTTATCTTAAAGTAATGATTAATGAGTCAATCTAAAGAAAGTCTTATCATTAGAAAATAAACTTGCAAATTTTTCTAATCCAGTTTTCTCTTTTTCATGTTATTAATTTAATTAAGGTTCAACTTCTTTTGATTTTTCAATTTGAAATCTATCCAATTTATTTTATAATTAAGATAGTTTCTCTCTTGCTTTAGCAGCAATAGCCAATTCTTCTTTATAATAAAATAGTCTTTATTCAAAATCCTCTCTCTACATATTTGCTATTTCCCTATATCTATTCATTAAAATAGTATGCTTTTCGTTGTCTAAAATTAATTTATCTAATTGATATTTATTTGCTTCAAAAACAGTTTAATAAGCCTTAGATTCATTTTCTAATTTTGTATACTAAGATTTTATATTCTGATAATGTAAATTAAGTTTTTAAAGTTATTTTTCTTTAATTTCATTTTCTTTTAATAATTCATTTATTTTTAGTTAAGCATTTTATTTAATATTAACTATCTCCTACTATAATTTCTAAACATCAGATAATTGTTCTAAAATTTATAATCTTTCTTAAATTTTTTCAATTTCATTTTTTAACCTAAAATTCTCCATATACAACTCACTTTATTTTTTAGAGTCACCTTTTCTTGATTTAATTGGTCTATCTGTATGTGAAGATTTATTAAACATTGATTATAATTCTTCAAATTTCACAGTTAAGTCATTAAATTAGATTTCCTTTTCTCTGGCTTATTATTCAGCTAATTCAGTTTTAGATTTATATTCTTCAATATTATTAATTACATTCCTCATAAATTTTTACATAATTTATTGATAACTGTTATATTTATCGACTAGATGCTATAAATTTAATTTTGTATTCATTTAATATAATTCAGTTTCAAATTACTATTATATAATATCAAACAGTTCTCTTTTTACATTTGTATTAGTTTTAGAAAAGACTTCATCTACTAATTATTTTTTATTAGTTAATTCATTAGAAATTGAATACTATCCACAGACTAATTCTTTTCTGAAGGTATCCAATGTATTATAATTACTGACAAATCCAACATATTTAGGAGATAATACTCCTTATCTATTCTTAAAATTACCCAAATAAGGATGACTACTTTATTGACTTTATGCTTATCTTCTAGCATCAATTTACTTTTAGATTTCTCTTTTAGCTTACTATTTTAAAACAGTAGACATTTATGTATATAATATTTATAAATATTTCATTCTGATTTATATTTTTTTTTGACCAAGAATGTGCCAATTCCACAACTAATAATTAAAGTTGTCCAATAACAATAAGCGAAAAATTGATCTTCATAACTGATAAAAATGCTCAAAAAGAAACTGGTTAAAGCAACAACTCCTGATCCAATTGTAATGAGTTAAGAATTTACATTGAATAAATTAAATTTATGGGGAAAGAAAATGAATATGTAGAATAAACAAGCACCTAATAATAATATTAGAATCTATTACAAACTGCAAATATTCTATAAAATAGCTCGTATTCTTCTGGACCTGAAAAGTAGATTCCAAAAAATAAATAAAATGAAAAATCAAGTATTGGCTGTATTTAATTTAACATTAATAATAAATGGTATTAATTGTATAACTATTTTATACAAAATTATGTGGAAAACATGAATACCAATCTTAGATATAATCAATCCAATATTTATGACATACTCTAACAATACCAAATAGATTAAGCATTGTTAATCATTCTTCATCAATAATACTTTCTATTTTTATAAGTGTTATATATTTCATTTTGTAAAAAATAAGACATACAACAAAATACTATATACTTTTGTCTAAATAATTGAATATTTAGTTATTTTTGTAATCTCTTATGATGAATAATAAGCATTAACTTAAATCTGTTAATATGTAATCAAAATTGATTTTATCAAAATCTTGCATAAGATAATCTAAAAGATTAGATCTATCTCAGAAGTACATATCTAATTAGAATTAATTGTTTTATTAACTAAATTAACAATAAACAAGTGTGGAATTATTTTATATTTAGATAATACTAATGATAAAATCCTATTGGAACAGTACATAAAACATGTGAATTATTATTTTAAATATTCTAATAACTATTTAAGAAAGACAATCATTAAGAATCTTTATCCAAATATATATGAATACAATTTTTATTAATCTCAATTATTTTATTACAAACATTAAAATTTATTCTTTAAATTGATCTAATATTACATATAATTATTAAAATGGACATCTTTCTCCAAATTAATTGAAATATTTATTTAAGATTACTCTTTTATTGTTTTGCGTAATAATAATTTTCTATTTTTATTTTAACATATATTATAATATTCTTTTTAATGTATCTTTCCTTTATTACATCATTGTATATACAAGTGAAACTATACATTTGCAGTGAATTCCAAAAAAGACCAAAATAGCCATTTTTATGTCATTTACAAATGTTGATTTAAAATCAATACTTTTTGAATGATAATATCTATATTATTTGATTATTTCATGATTTTACAAAATAATTCTTTGGGAAATAAAAACTTAAAAAAATGGAAATAAAATTGGAAAGTTAATATAGGAACTTAAAAAGTATGGGTTATTGAATTTATTTTAATTAATAATGAATAACTTAAATAAATTAGCCTATGATGATGATATTATTTAAAATTTTATTTATTTATTATATCAAATTTTTACTTTCGATTTAAGATGTTATGTTATCTTCTCAACAAATTATTCATCTTCAGCAGATAATTGTTCTTTCTTTAATTCTTGAAATGGCAACTATTCACTTACTTCAAATTAGGCCAGCTAATTTAAGAAATTTTATTTAGCTAAAGGATTAGCTAATTATTCAACAATTTCTGATTTTTTTTCTCTTAGAAAATCTTTGACTTACATCATAACAAGCTGTTTTGAGTACTAATCTAATTTTTATTAAGTCTCTGTTAGAGTTTAACCATTATGAGAAATCTCAGAAGACTATTGATTTATTCGAATCATAGGATGAATGAATTATAAATTTTCTATAGCATAATCGCTATTTCTATTCGAAATTATAATAAAAATATTATATTACTTAGTTTTGTCTATTAATGCGATCACAGTAGTGTTTAATAATTTTACTTTCCTATCTCTAGTCGATTTTTTACCTATTCGACCTTCTTTTAAATAGACTTACAATATAGCTTTGACTGTTGATGGTTTTAATTGAGTTTCTTCTGATACCTATTATTATAAAATGATATTTTTATACTTCTTTTAAAGTCTTACCATTTTTAGTCAACTCATTAATTATATGAGTTCTTTAATCATGACTAATCTTCTTATACCTAATTTATACATGAATTATTATACTTCATGTTACGAGATCCCTTTCTTATTTTTTAGCTACTATTCATTATTATTCAATTATTAATTAATTATGATTCCCTCTACTCGAATTTGTATAGCACCAAATTGTTAAGCATAATCCCGTTTAATTTAATCTATTAAAGAGCTTGATTTTCATAAAGGACATAGTTCCTCAAGTCTAGGATAACTTACCAAAAAACTTAAAGATGTCATACCAGATTTCCCTATTACTACAAGTACTAAATAAATCATTGAATCCAAATTTCAAATCATTTAAGAATACTTACAAAAGAAATAAGAAATTTATTAGAAGTATTATTAATTCACTTATATTTTATTAAGGAAATGTGAAAAATATGAATTGATTGAGGCAGCATCGAAATTTATTAATTCAGAATATTCCTTATTAAATGAAAAGGCAATAGATTTAATAGTTAAAGCACTACCTAATAATATATCTGAAACTTTAGAATTATAAACTTCTCAATATTGTGATTTACAAATTCAAATTTAAAAAGAATTGGATGATTTATTTCTTTTAATTAGTACAGATAACAAATAAGAATCCAATTAACCAGTCTAATAAATTTAATCACCAAAAAAAAAACTATCTTAAATTCAAACTACAGCTATACCTATAGCTATCACTGAAAAACCATAGTTTATTAAAATGCCCTAGGCTTATGATTAATTATCTAAATTTGATATAAATAACTAAAAAGCTAAACACTTAGAAGGATGTAAGTCTTAAAAATTCTATATTAGATCCCTCCTTTGTTATGACTAACCAATTACTTAAAGAAGGTAGCTTTATTAAATTTGAAATTGTTAAAATTTAAAATGATTATGTAGGAATAGGTATTGGTGCTATGGAAAGAGCATCAATTGAAAAAAATGGTTTAATTCTTACTGGAGAACAATTATAAACTGTTGGACATGGTGTTTATATGAATTTTAATGATAAATGTATCTACCATAGTGAAATTGAAAATGGTGCTGTTTAAGGAAAAGATAAAGGAATTTCATTCTAAGATGGTGATTAAAGTAATCTTAATCTATTATTTATTTAGTTCTTTGCAGTTATACTAAAGGTTAGTTGACATTTTAAAATTTGAAGACGTCATCTTAGTATTCTATGAAAGTTAATTTATCAGATATTATTTTCATTGTTTGGTTAGACTTGAGCGAAGTTAAAATTATTTGATTATTTCAGTCTTCTATTATAAGAATATATATTAAGATTATCAATTTAATATTATCAATAATTCTTAATTTAAGATAAAATATATATAATTCATTAATTATCAATTTTATTTTGAATATAAGTATAAATTATTCTAATAATATAAAAAAAAAGATATGGTGTAAAAATCAATCTAAAAGAACTTTTTAACAGAATTTAAAATAAATAAAAATATGCTAAAAACTCTTTATTATATGATTATTGGAGAAGTTATAAAGATAACAATTAAAGTAGTTCATAAGTATAAACAATTCTCATTACAAGACTTAAATATAAGATAATAAATATCATTTAATTTTGCATTTTTTGAGATGAACTATTATTTGAGAAAATTTATATTAAGAATTTAAATAAACTTAAGAGAAATAATATTAATTCCAAAAATAAATGTAAACAGTCGGTATACAATTTAAAAAATTAAAATTATGGGGAGGTTTTTGGAAATGATAAAATAATGGTAGTAACAAAAAATAAATAATAAATCTTCAGAATTTCTTATAATAAAACGTAATTATTTTTGTAAGCTAAAATAATATAAATTTATTAATATGATCTTTCATTATTATCATATAAAATAGTAACAATAAATAAAATTTATATTGGAGTATTTATAACCTCATTATCAAGTTTAATTACTTAAACTATTGTAAAATAGCAATAAAAATTTCATTATTATATTAATGATTTAGATTTAAAGTATAAAAATAGAGGAAACGAAAAATAATTAATTTTATGAAAATATTTTGCCAAAATTTTATTTAATTAAAAAATGCATAAACAATCATTAATTCTCTAATAAAAAGCTCCAAAAGATATTAATGAGCTTGATTAAGCATTTAAATTAATAGATCAGAAATTAGATGCTCCAAGTTCTTAATTGTTACTAATGAAAACTAGATATATATCAATTGATCCAATAATGAGAGTTTGGATATCTGGTGCTAAAACGTAATTTATTATATTCTAAATTATTAGTTATTTACCTGCATTATAGTAGAATGATATAATACATGCATTTACTTTGAGTTCTCCTGTTGATAATTAAAATGACATATATTTTGGCCCTGTTGGATTATAAACTCATTTTCTATATGACAAAAATGATAAGAAAAATTAATTAATAAAAGTTCCACGCTAAATGTTATAGATGATATAAAAGTGTGAATTGTAAACTTCAAATTTTTTAACTATTGTTTTAAATGGGCTACCAGCTTATTATGGATTGATTGATTTCTGTAAGATTTAGAAAGGATAGAAAGTTGTGATATCAGCAGCAGCCGGAGCTACAGGATTATTTTGTATTTAACTTGCTCTGAATATGCAATGTGATGTTATTGGATTTACAGGAGATAAAGAAAAAATGATATTCTTATAAAAATAATTTCCAAAATTAAGAATCATAAATTATAAATTGGATGATTGGGATACATAAATTGAAAATAATAGTGTAGATTGTTATTTTGATAATGTTGGTGAATATATGCTTGAAAAATTGATAGAAAAAATGAAGAAAAATGGAAAGATTGCATTATGTGGATCTATGGGAAGTTCATCAAATTATAATGAAAGATAAGGATTATGTAATCTAAATTAACTCATTTATAAACGATTAAAATTGAAAGGTATTACTTTTAATTAAGAATTAAATAAGTATTAATTAATATATACAAGAATTCAAGCTGCTTTTGATTATTTATTTTAACAGTTCCAATAAAAAAAGTTAAAAATATTTTAGGAAGAGTATAATTAATTAAATGATACCCCTAAAGCCCTGAAGCGTCTATTTAAAGGAGAAAATATAGGAAAAATTATTATTAATTTAGATAATTAATAGAAGCTATGATTATTATTTTTATGATTTTATATAATATATTATGATGTCTAGTATATGAAGTAATAAAATAAAAATTTAATCAAATTTAAGATAATTGTTTAAAGATACAATGTTCTAATAATTTAAATTCTTAGAAAGTTAATAAATTTTTAAATATTTTTAAATAAGATGAATAATAAATCTGAATTATCTAGAGCAAACACAATGAAATCTCTCAATAATAACAATTAATATAGTCCTAAATTATTTATATCTCAAAACACATCAATAGGTTTTCTAAATGAATAGAACAGTTATTTAACAAGATCATTATCCCCTAGTCCAAATCGTCATGATTATTCTTTTGATAAAATAATCGAATAAAGTAATTTAGAATCAAGCATGTAAATAATAATTTAAGTATAAGTAAAAATTTGCCATTAAATGCTAACGACTAAGAATAAGCAACAAAAGTATTTTGTCAAAAATGTTAAAAATCAGTCATCACAAAGATCGAAAAACAATATGGTTGGGGAGCTCTAATTGTTACTTTCTTAATATTATTAATATTTTGGCCACTATTCTGGATTCCATGTTTTGTAACAGAATGTAGAGACATTATACATTATTGTCCATCTTGTGATGAAGTTATTGGATAGAAAATGTATAAGCCTTGTAAATGATCATTAGATCAGTATAGTTTTATAATTTTATATTTACTTCTTATCAATTTCTTTTTACAAGATTTCATTCTTAACTAAGATTATAATAATTATTTATTGTATCTTAAATTTTGTTTAGTATTGTGTATAAAATCAATACATTCTGAATTTATCATTTTTGTTGCTAATAACATTTATATAAATAATATAAATAAATTATTACTCAATTGATTTTAAATCTGCTTATATAATTTTAATATTTATTAAAAACTAAATATCAGCATATATAATAATATTGATGAATCCTAATAGAAATCAAGTAATTTAATATGCTGAATATTCATCTGATCCACTCAGAAATCAACAATAAATTTTACCAAACACATAATAATAATAATAACCAATATTATTTTCTTAAGTAATACAAAGGAATAATGCAAATGGATGTGATTTTCCAGCTGATATTGTTTGCCCATATTGCTCAAGAATGATTTAAACCCATGTCAAATATAAAATAGGAGTTCATACTTGGATAGTAGTATTATTATTATTAGTTTTATTTTTTCCTTTGTTCTTTTTACCATTTTGTTTCTTAGAATGCTAAGACAAACAGCACATATGTCCACACTGCATTTAGAAAGTTGGCTATAAATAATATAAAATTTTTTGAAAATGCTAAGAATTTATTTAAAATCATCAAATAATTTCTGTACAATTCATTTATTCCATTTAAAAGTATTATTATTTAAAAAATAAAATAAATTTATTATTACTACTTTTATAACATCTAAGTTTTCATTTAGAGATTTAATCTTTAATGTATATCTATTTAAATATTAAATATCTTCAGATTTATTTAAATTCTATAGAGAAGTACATGTTGGAAAAAAACAATAGTTATTCTAACAATTAAGAGAAAATATATTTAATAATTCTTCTAATAATGTATTAAGGACCAAATATATTAGTCAACCAATCAATTTTTTTTAATATTATTTAGCATTTCCAATTTTAACCAAGATTGTATATATAATATAGATGAATTAAGCTTAATCCTTTTAATTTATAATTCCTACTCTTTTTTTATTTTAATTGTTCTATTAATGAGATATGTGAGAAGTGTAGTTACATATTATGGAATTTTAACTTCTTAATAAATATATATTTATTTTTCTACCTTAATTTCTTGATTAGGATCTACTTTTGTTATTTTATAAGGATTAAGTTTTTTTTAATAAATTATTTTTTGATATTTAGGATTTATAGTTAAATATATTATATAAAATATTTTGGTTATGATTAGAACTGATATTAGTTGATTTTCAAATATTTAGAAGAATTCATAAGAGGACGAATATTTAAATATAAAAATATAGAAATTTAATAAATTATATAAATATGTGTTAGTGATATTTTCTTATTTTTTGTTTTGTGCATATTTAAATCAATTTTAATAAAAATTAATTAAAATGGCTTAAGTTAACAAAAGAAAATAATCTAAATCTTTAGATGATAGTGAAGTAGCAATTTTCAATTTAAGTTATAGTATAGGGTGAAGCAGTGTAAGGTAGGTGGATAAAGGAAGAACATTAAAGATTTGTAGAAGCATTGAGTATACATGGGAAGAATTGGAAAAAAGTAGAAGAATATGTTGGTACAAGAAGTGGAGCATAAATTAGGTAATATGTATATTCAATATAATATAATAGGTCTCATGCTTAGAAATTTTTTAATAGATTAGAGAAAGAATTTAACAAATAATTCAATGGACTTAAAAGTTCAGAGATTAAGTAAATTTTTGAGAATAAAATGTTTCATTAATTTTCTGAGGGAGAATAAATTTAAAAAAAATAGAAGACTAACTCTATAATGGGTATGACCTCATATCTTTTATAATTTTATTTTTAGATGTATCTGAAGATGAGATACAATTAAATGCCGAGTCTATGTAAATGGAATCTAATCAATAATAATAATAATAAATAAAAGTTCAAATACAGTAAGGTACTTTAGACCTCAATTTACCTGATTCCCAAATTCATAATCCTACAAAAGAAGAAATAACAAAATATTAGTAAAAATAAAAGAAAATTCAGATAAAACTATAAGATGTTAAAGATATAAATCAATTACCTGATGAACTTCTTAAAGAAATTTGTAAATTACATAATGAAAAAGGGCAGATTATGGCTATATAATAGATATAAAATGCATATCAATCAATTGCAGAAGTAGATCAAAATGATGAATAACAGAATCAACAATAATCAATATAATTAGAATAGAAAAAACCTTATAATTAAGAATAAGAAAAAAATGAAGATTCAAGACCAGGTAATGATGAATCCTTTTTTCATTTTATTATGTATTAAAATCTTAAATTATAAATAGGGCTAAAATATCAAAGTATTTGAATAATAGGAAATTAAGTTTATCTGATTTAATAAATGTACCTTAGTCAGAAAAAGAAATCTAGTCAGTTTCTTAGGCTCTAAAAAGTGATTAATAATAAGAGGCAGAAGGACAAAGAAGTAGAAAACAATCTTTTACTTTTTATAATGATTAAGATGAGGAAAATGAAGTTCGTTATTAGAATCTTAAGAAAACTAAAAAAGAATGAGACACAACTATATAATATAGTTTATTTTATTTTTTAATTAACAGAATCTCTTAAATGTAGAATTATTACACTCCAGAATAATTTAGTCCATACTCTATTCCTAAATAGAATTAATCTAACTAAGTCAAACAATAAACTCCATTTGATGATGAAGATAATGATACATCTAAAAGTGAATCATAAATAATCAAATAACCTAGAAAAATTAATATAGAGGATTTATTTCATGATAGTTTACCTAAATCTAATCAAGATATTCCTTTTTGGGAAAATTATGAGCAATAACCAAAAGGAATAATAAATCAATAAGCATCAAATAATTTATAGCAATTGCCAATATAATAAAATATAATATAAAAGGAAATTCTTGATTTTTTTGATGAAGATTAAGAATAAAAATCTTAAAATATATCATAATCAAGTTAATAAATATAAACAAGTTATCAAAATTAATTGTAAAATCCATAATAATAATTGCCTACTAATCTTGAAACTTAAAATATATCTTCAGATAATAATCCTTATATATTTAATAATTAACCAAATTCTTTCCAAAAAAATTATTTTTAAACCCCAATAACTATTTAACAAAATAAAGATAATAATCTATAATAGATTTTTTAAAGTTTTGAAGAATAAATAAATACTAATTTGGGGGTCTAAAAACCTTTAACTACTTTTTAAAATTAATATTAAAATAATGAATCATTATAATATATAAATGAAAAAAATATTATTCCTAATTCAAATTATACTTCATAAATTAAGTAATAATCCAATTAAATGTAATAATTTACAAGTCCGTACAATGTATCACAATAACCAGAAGAAATTAAAAAATAATCTACATTTTTGAATTTTAGTCTTGATTAAGAGTAAGTTGCACAACCAAAGGAATTGGTAAACAATTCTTAATAAGATGATTCAGATCTAATTTGGTCAAATAATCAAAAACCTGAAATATTACAAACTTTTGATTTTAATTTATTAGACATAAATTAAGAGTAAAACTAATCATTAGCAGAATAACCAAATTAAAATAGTAATGGGTTCAATAATTTTTGGCAAACTTAAAATAATAATTAATTTAATGCTAATTATCCTTAAACTACTCAATTCTCTAATTTATTAGGCAATTTTAATTAAAATAATTTTGCGCTCTAAGATTTAACTAAAAATTAATAAGATGATATTATTTAAAATTAAGATATTTAGAATCCAATCATTTAAAATTAACCTAAAAGTGATGATCAAAAAATAAAAGATGAATTTGCTTATTGGAATTAACCAAAAGTTTAATCTGAAAGTTAACCTTCTTAATAAGATATAGAAGATAAATTTAATAATTTTTCAAGCAATTCATAGACTGGATGGGGAGATTTTCAAATTTTCCAATTTAATAATAAATAAAAGGAATAAATTGAAGAATTCATAAATTTTGAATAAGACAACAATAGAAATTATGAAGAAAATGGATCTAAACTTTAATAATCAATCCATAATTCTGAATAGGAGGTTATAGATAAATAAAATAATAATTAAGAAGAAGAGAATTCAGATTAAGAGAAAATAAATGGTAACATAAAGATTTTGAATGAATATTAGTAGGAGAACCCTTAAAAAAACTTTGATTCATATGAATAAAAATAGAATTCACTTTCTGAATCATAAATAATTCAATAACCTTTAAATAAAACATAATCATTTGAATTTCCATCATCTATTTAAGTGCCTACACATAGTATTAGAGGAAGCAAAGAAGATGATAAAGAATTAACTTATGTTGAATAAATTATGGAATTATTAAAACCTAAAATAACTGAAATTACTTAAAATTTGAGTAATGAAATAATAAATAATGATTGTAATTAAAATTAGGAAGCACAACCAAAACTATTTTAGGGAATTTTGGATATCTTTTAAAAAGAGAAAAGAAGAGTGGAATTAGATTTACTGAACTAATAAGTATAAATAATAAAAGATATAGTCACGAAATATGATAATAAGACAGAATAATTATAAGAATAGTTTATTAAAGTAAGAGAAGAGAGAGAACGAGAAAGATAAAAATCTAATATGAGTATTAATTCTATTGAATTAAGAAAGTCTCTAGATGTAGATTAATAGATTGAAGAATCACCTATATAGAATATTTAATTATAATAAAGTCCTGAATAATAATAATATACACCTAAAACTTCATAAGATAAAGCATATATACCTTTTTAATTGATTCATCAAACTTAATCTAAATATTTAAATGAAAGCTTGATAAGTTAAGAAAATAAAGAAGATGATCTAATTAAATTCAAAACTAATTTCGTTTTTTAAAGACAGCTTTTAAAGGGATTGTAATATTAGGATATTTAGAAATTTAGAATATAATGTTTAAATGAGAAAGTAATATTATTAGAGACAGAGGAATTAATAGTCACATAAAATGAGGAAAGAAATGAAAATAAAAAGCAGGGATATAAGATATAATTGAAGTTTAAGAATAAAGGAAGAAAAATAATTTAAAATTTAATTGTATGTTTAGAAGGGAAACAATGTAAAATAAATAAAGTTAATCTTAGTTAAAAATGATGTTGAAGCAAATCCTTAAAGAATAAAATAGTAATATTTAAGTCCTGGTGAAACAATAATACAAGATATAAGATTTAAATACTATGATTAACAAACAGTTTATTTGAATTGTTATTTAAAATATTCAATAAATGGCAACAGAGGTTATTGGAGTCAAGGTTAATAAGGGATTTAAAATTAAGAGGCAATGTATATATCTTAAATGAATTAGTATAATTAGAATAACTCATACTAACATAATCAGTAAGATTGTATTTAATATTATAGAGAAAATAAAAAGAACTATTAATTTATTATAGGAAGACCAGCAAATAAATTTTTCACATATCATTATTGGACTGTAGAAGAACTTAATGAATATAAAATGTCTTATTAAAGTGAAGAATTCGAATTAAAACAATTAGAGGATTTAATTATATATCATCCATGGTTAGTGAAAATAGATTAATAAACTTTATGTGGAAAGATATTTCTTAGATTAGATGAAAATGATTATGATTTTGTTGTGAAAGTGTGTTTGAGAGGAGAAAAAGGAGTGATTAAAATGAATCAGACAGATATGGATAAAAAGTTATGTGAACATCTATTAAGTTTTTTAAGTTTTCTATTTGTGAAATTATACTGATCAATTTTTTAATGAAATTATTTCACAATATTTTATCACTATGGATTTTGTATCCAAATTCTCTATTTATTTATAATTGTAGCTACATCTACTCATCCATAAAAAGGAATTTAAGGAAATAAATGATGTTTTGTTTAGAATTACATACCTCCCATAAACAAATTAGATAACCAATCTATTTTTATTAATTGAAGAAATACCTGTCCAATCATAATTTCTAGAAGTCATTATCTAATGTTCAATAAAAGGTTTATCAATTTTATTAAACAATTTATATTCTCTTTCATAATTACAAATAAATAAACAAGCACCAAAGAATCCTGTAATATATTGACCAATCAAATAAATCAGATTTTTTATTAGAATACGATTAATTGATGAAGAAATATATAAAGTATGTCAATTCTATTCTAAGATGCAATTATTGAATCAAATTTCCATCTACTTTTATTTAAATGAATAGTTATCTTTTGATTCATTAAAATTCATTATTTTATAAATAAATCTGAAATCCTATAATTACTAATTCTATTTCCATCTCTATTCTCAGGTGTTTACATTAAATTATTATTTGACATCTGATATTCTAATTATTAACATAACACAGTCTTTACATAATAATATGTTTTTTTATTATGAAAATTAAAAAATAATACAAAATTTATATTACGGATATTATCTTTAATAAAATTTGTTTAATTTTTTTACTATTAATTTATATATATATATTATGAATAAGAATAATAGAAATGAAGAATTATTAAGAGAATAATATTGCAAGACTTAAGCAGAAAGAATTCTAGATTAACAACTATTTAAAAAGACTAAAGTAATTAAATGTATTAATTTAGGGTTAACAATTACATTAAATGGAAAAATAAATATATGGTGATTAAAATAAAAAAGTAAAAACTCAAGAAATTCAACAAAAAGAATAAATGAGTTGTTAATAAGCAATGAGTTGTGTTTTAAAATATCTCAATAATGAGAATAAAATATTAACTGCTTTGAATAAAATTAAGTTATTAATTAAGGAATTTTAAAACAAATTTTATGATTACCATATACTTTAAATTCTTTATTGTTTATCAACAACAAAGTACAAATTTAAATAACATGAATGTGATTAATTGGTAATTGAAATCTTTGATATTTGTAATATGTCCAAATACATTTAAACAATTGATATATTAAGAATATAATTGAATATCAAAATCAAACTCTAAACTGATGATACATACTAATTTAACAATGTACTAAAAGAATTAAAGAAAATAATTGATGATTTAAAAGTTCATTAAGAAATATAACCTATAGATATTGTATTACAAAACACAGAGTAATAAATTGATGTATATGAATATGAAATCCTACCTGATTTTGAATAATTTATAGTAATTATATCTATTTATAATAGAATAATAGAGAATTTTAAATGATAAAAAAGTAAGAGTTTATAATGAATTGTTTGGAAGTATTGATTGATCAATTCAAATATTAATGGGCAAAAACAAGTATTCACACATTTATTTAGAATTTAAATTTTAATCAAAAGTATTGAAATTATTAAATTTAATTAGATAGAATTTTGATGGATAGTTTAAAACTTAAATTGATGAAATAATAAGTAAAATTTAGAATGCTAAAATTCTTTATACTGCTAGTAATGAGAGGGAAAATGCTTAAAGTGCAAAATTAATGTAAGATTATATGAAACCAATTCATGATGTTGTAGACAGTCGAGCAATTGTAAACACAGGAGATGGTTTGGATTAATGGGGTTTGAAATAAACAGGATTATGATTATAATTGAGATAAATATATTGTAATATTTTACTATGAAATAAAAAATAAAATTTCAGTCGGGAATTGTTATATCATTATAATCATGTCGAAGCGTTTAAAGTCATCATAATTATTTTTATTATATTGATTATAAATAATTATTGACTTAAAATATATATCCAATAATATGGGTTTGATTCTAATTAATTAATGCTTTTTAATAGTTATTTTAAGACAAAAAATCAAAGTCTTTATTTGAAAAAAGCAAAAACCTAAATACTTTGGAGTTCTTTTGAGAAACCTAAAAATATTTATTGGAATTACAGTTATCCAACAAAATAGATAAATTTGAAAAAGAAGTCACATTGAGTGTTATTAAATCTAAAAAGAAATCAATAAGTAAACAATTTGTAATAATATTGATTAACTTAGGAAAAAAGAATAAGGAATTGAAATAATTGATAATTTCTTAATTTAAAATTCATACATTACAAATTCATAATCTAAATCTAGATCTTTTAGCAATAATCAATTTCTTACTAATAAAAATACTGATAAAAACATTATTTTGAATAATGTTAATAAATGGCAAAGAAATATTAATTAAAAATAGATTATTGATGAAGATTAATATATAGATAGTTTTCTATAATAATTTCAAAGATTCAGCTTCTTAGGAAGGGTGGATTTTCTTTTGTTTGCTTAAGAGAACATAAAACAGCTAAAATAAGAGTTGCAATTAAATAAATATAAGAGTCTAATCCTTATCAAACCTATTTACGTGAAATTTGATTTGGATCAGAATTTTTTGATAATTGAAAATTTAAATGTTTAAATTTAAAGTAAATTAATGTTGTTATTTAAACTAAGTTAATTGATTATGGAAGTCGTTTACATTTTGATGATCTCCCATAATTTTCTTTGGTAAATTATATTCAATATGAAAAAAAAATGGAAAAAACAACAACCCTAAATTATACAAAGTCTTATCAAAATATTGAACCATGGGTAATAGATATATGGACTTTGGGATGTGTAATTGTAGAAATACTTTATGGTATTCCACTTTGGTTGAGCAATAAAATTATTATTTAGCATCATGATAAAGATTTAATTTAGTTTGCTGTAATAAATAGAGCATTTGATCAAATTATAGAAAGTTGAGCCTTAGTTGTGAAAAATTTTTAGATCATTATTTAGACAATAATTATTCTGGTATTTATATGCCTTTAAATTCTAGAAAATAAAGGTGATTTAGAAATTAGGCTGTTATTAAAAGAAATGCTTACCATTGATCCAGATCAAAGAATTGCTCCTTGTACAATTATTGAATTTCTTTAAACTACTAAAGAAAGATTAACAACTGAATGAGTTATTATTATTATTCAAATTTTCACACTATAAATTAAATTAACTTTTTTTTACTAAAAATCAGAATTTTATTTATTAATAATATATTTTTATTATTTGTGATTTATCAGACCTTTTAAAATCCATTATGAAATCATATCGCCTTTATTAAAAACTTATTTCAAATTACATTTAAGGATATTTTTGCAAAAGAAATGTAATAAACAGCATTATTAATAGATATTTGATTGAAAAATTATGATTCAAACATAAAATTCGGATAAAATTATTTAGAGAATTTTATAGAAGAAGAATTAAAAAAAATTAAAATTTGAGTATTTAACTCATGCTTATTAAATTATATTTACGAATAAAATGTAAAATATTTCCTTAAGTTTTCCAGATTTTATAAGGAAGTACTAGATTGATTTTTATATATATAATAAATTAATTTTCAAAGGAAATATTAAATGAAAAAGCAATCAGTATCCACAAATGCAACCCTTCTGGTACCATATTTTAAAGTGTATTTCAAAATTCATTATCATACTAAACCAGGAAAAGCAATTTACATAGTGGGAGATTGCAATATGCTTGGGGATTGGTAGCCTACAAAAGGATTAAGGCTATAATGGAATGAAGTATAATATGAATTATAATTTCTAAAAGAATGATGAATGGACAATTTGTATAAAAATAGATCGATCGAAATATAGTAAGATCGAATACAAATTCATAGTTAATAATTATGATTATAGTACTTTAGATGATACAATATGGGAACCAGGAGAAAATAGAGTCATCACTAATCATATGATTTAGAACGAAACAAAATATGAATATTTTAATTGTATTAATTATAATTATTTATTTTAGGTGAATATTGGGGGTACANTGTAATAAATAGAGCATTTGATCAAATTATAGAAAGTTGAGCCTTAGTTGTGAAAAATTTTTAGATCATTATTTAGACAATAATTATTCTGGTATTTATATGCCTTTAAATTCTAGAAAATAAAGGTGATTTAGAAATTAGGCTGTTATTAAAAGAAATGCTTACCATTGATCCAGATCAAAGAATTGCTCCTTGTACAATTATTGAATTTCTTTAAACTACTAAAGAAAGATTAACAACTGAATGAGTTATTATTATTATTCAAATTTTCACACTATAAATTAAATTAACTTTTTTTTACTAAAAATCAGAATTTTATTTATTAATAATATATTTTTATTATTTGTGATTTATCAGACCTTTTAAAATCCATTATGAAATCATATCGCCTTTATTAAAAACTTATTTCAAATTACATTTAAGGATATTTTTGCAAAAGAAATGTAATAAACAGCATTATTAATAGATATTTGATTGAAAAATTATGATTCAAACATAAAATTCGGATAAAATTATTTAGAGAATTTTATAGAAGAAGAATTAAAAAAAATTAAAATTTGAGTATTTAACTCATGCTTATTAAATTATATTTACGAATAAAATGTAAAATATTTCCTTAAGTTTTCCAGATTTTATAAGGAAGTACTAGATTGATTTTTATATATATAATAAATTAATTTTCAAAGGAAATATTAAATGAAAAAGCAATCAGTATCCACAAATGCAACCCTTCTGGTACCATATTTTAAAGTGTATTTCAAAATTCATTATCATACTAAACCAGGAAAAGCAATTTACATAGTGGGAGATTGCAATATGCTTGGGGATTGGTAGCCTACAAAAGGATTAAGGCTATAATGGAATGAAGTATAATATGAATTATAATTTCTAAAAGAATGATGAATGGACAATTTGTATAAAAATAGATCGATCGAAATATAGTAAGATCGAATACAAATTCATAGTTAATAATTATGATTATAGTACTTTAGATGATACAATATGGGAACCAGGAGAAAATAGAGTCATCACTAATCATATGATTTAGAACGAAACAAAATATGAATATTTTAATTGTATTAATTATAATTATTTATTTTAGGTGAATATTGGGGGTACAGAGCAATTAAATTGAAATTAAATTACAATTTACCTGAAAAATAAAGAATGATGGTAATAGGAAGTATAGAGCAACTTGGTCAATGGATTCATCCAGTACTTATGAAATAGTAATCTAAAGTTGATATCGGTAATTTTGATTCAGTAAAATTAGTTAATTGTGAACCAGTGTAATAATGGTCCATTTCTTTTATTGTAGATTCAATGAATTTTTCATTTAGATATTTTTATGTAATAAGGAATGATGAAACAGGTTCTATGATATGGGAAAGAGGTAATGGAAGATATTTGAAATCAAGTGATCTTAGATCTTTTAGACAAGTTTAAGATCAATATGCTTAATCTCCAATTAAAATTAAAACTTAATTATTAACTGCCTGTTAACATTATAAATTTCTTAAAAAAAATAATGGATCATTTTGTTCAGAAAGATAAATAAAATTTAACAAAGAAACTAGTATGGGCTACTCCTTTTCAGATAAAGAATCATCTTTTTTTTATTATGAGTCATTTGGTAGATTAAATAAATTGGATTGGAATTTTGTTGTTTAATTTTCTATCACTTAAATCAATGAAAACATAATTATTGGTCCTTATCCATAAAATGAATAAGATATACTTATCTTAAAAAATTAAGGAATCAAAGCTGTTATGAATTTATAGACAAGATTGGATATGTATCATAGAGGAGTGGATTGGGATGAAATAATATTAACTTATAAGAAACATAATATTTAGATGAAAAACTTTGAAATCTTTGATATGGATCCTTAAGATTTCGAAAAAAAAATACCAAAAGCTGTATAACTTCTTAAAAAACTTATTAACCAACATGAATTTGTTTACATTCATTGTACTTCAGGAATTGGTAGAGCACCTTCACTTGCAGTTATTTATTTGTCTTCTGTATTACAAATTCCATTAGATTAAGCAATAGCCTAAGTGAAAAATAAGAGAGAGCAATTTTATATTAATTTTAGTATTTTATTCATATTTAATTCATAGATATGTTGAAAAGATCTCTGTAAAAAACTATTGTTTATAACAATGGACAAGGCTATGAAGAAAATTAAGAGGTTATAGAATTGTTAATGTCAAGCTCTGGCAAAATTTTAAAATAATAATTTGATTATAACCTACTATATTGAGTTAGGTAAAATTGTGTTTAAAGAATATCAGTTTTATTTTTATCATTACTATATACCTTATTACTTTTCTTTTTAATCAAAATTTTCTGAATTTACAATTAAAGAAAACAGAGCTAAAAATTTATTTTAGAAATTATTTTAATTCAATTCTCAGTATCCATAAGATAAAACTTTAAATAGAAAGAAATATAGATGAGTTGAATTTATAAAATTTCAATAGTATTCATTCTAAAGTTGTTGCCATTTTAAGAGAATATTTTTTTTATATAGATTAATTTATTCTAATTAATAATGAAATTTTGTTTTAGAAATGCCCTTTTATTCCTTCTTCTTATTTTACTTGGGCGATCATCAAATGTTATAGAACATCCAAATGAAAGAATTCTTCAGGATACTAGTGAAGAAAATGCTAAAAATAACGATTGGGAACCTATTCGAATATAATATAAAATAGCATAACTTTACTATGAATATGAGTACTAGAAGTTTTTCTAAAAATTATTTTCAGTTGCTTAGACATTTATAACTAGATATTTCTTAGTATAAAGATTGACAGAAGTTATTACATTTGATGACACTGATGATAAATATTTTGATTCTGAATAAATTTCAATTCAATATTTGTCAGAATCATTTGAAACAGACCTTGTATAAATTAATAATATATTTCCATAGCTAATTTTTGTTTAAATATATGATGATTCAACAACAAATGTTAAAGCTAGTTCAGAGTATATTAAAACTTATTCAAAAACCTAAAGACCAACTGTGGGCATTATAAAGTGGAATATTTACTCTACTAACTTAAAAAATATGACTAACTCTGAATTTGAATTAAATATGCAAAGATTAATTGCAACTACAATGTATATTATGGGTTTCACACCTAAAGCATTTTAAACTTATTTTGATAGCTCAATTAATGTAAAATATTCTAATCCTTCCATTACTATAAATAATATTACTTACTTATCAACTCCAAGAATAAAAAAAATAATATAATAACACTTTAAGTGTGATACTGTCAAAGGTGCATAGCTTGAAAATGATGGAGGAAACTCTTATGCAAAAAACCATTTAGAAAGAAGTATATTTTATAATGAAATTTTAACAAGTGCAACAATGGAAGGGAATATGATTATATCTGATTTTACTTTTTCAATATTTTAAGATACTGGGTATTTTATTCTTATAATTAGTTTTTATAATTTGATGCAATATTCACCAGATAAAGTGCTTTGGGGAAAAGGCAAAGGATGCGATTTTTTACAGAAAAGATGTTATGGTGATTTTTAAGAATTTTGCAATGTAGAAAATGAAGAAGGATGTTCCTTTTTAAATACTGGATATTCAAATTGCAAATAAGATGATTTTAGTGATTAATGCAAATATTTTTAAATCAAATAAGATTATGATTGTAGAGATTCAACATCTGGAGGAGATGAAGCTAAAGAAACATTTTAGCATTTTGGATCTGATAGTATGTGTATTGTTGGGTCAATAAGTGAGAATTATAGTGTAGCCAATAAATAAAAATTTAGTTGTTTTTAATATCTGTGCGATGCCAATAATCAATTAACTCTAATTATTAATTCAAAATCTTTTAATTGCTTATCATAATAAACTATAAAAATTGATTAATATTTTGGATAAGTATCATGTCCAAAAAACCCTGAAGAGTTTTGCAGATCCTAAGATGAATGTATGGGTTAATGCAATTAAAGAGGATATTGTTTAAATAAAATGGTAAATACCACTATTAAATTTATAGTGTATTTGCTCATTAGGTTATTCAGGTAAAGGGTGTTAGGAAAATTGTTCAAAATATAGACACAATGCTGAATGCTATGATAAATGCCCATCAAAAACATATCCAATAGAAGCAATTTAATATTGTGTTGGCTGTCCTGGAGTAAATATAATAATATTTTACATAGAATTGTCAAGATTGTTCAAGCTATAATAAGTGCAAAATTTGTTTACCAGGATATAAACTAAATTCAATAGGATTTTGTGATATTTTATATAATTATGAGGTGCCAGAGGAGGAGAGTGAAGAAGAAAGCCTACCAACTAATGTTTAAGAGGACGAACAGTACTTGATTTTGGAATTCACTTTCGAATAGAATAATGCATATATTTTTGGGGCATCATTAGCCTTTTTAACATTATTATGAAATTATTAATTACTTTAAGGATGTAAAATAAAATCCCATGAATCTAATAATCATTAATATAAATTAATTTTAATTTTCTGACTTCATCAAATGAGATATTTTAAGAATTAATTTATGAATTATGATTTAAATATTTAATTAGAATAAAATTATAAATAGAATATTTAAAAAATCAAAATCCTTTTCGAAGAATTCTATCATTATAAGCTTCTAAACCCATATTGAAAATTTGAGATATTTGTTATTCATTAAATTGATTTTGATGCTATAGAGTCTGTTAATAAGGATATTACCAACAATATGGATTATAATATGGATACATCATCGGTGGATATTAATATTACTTTCCTAATTTTGGAAAGTATATTGGTTTCTATTCTTTCTATGCCTTTTCTTCACCTTTGAATGAGAAGGATGATTGATAAGATTCATCTGATGTATCTACTGTGATTGTTTTACTGTTACTTTTAACTTTTTTCTAAGGAATATACTCCTCCTTGGATTACTTTCTTGCTATTTATAATTTCAAATAATCATCTATTTTTTTTTATTTCATTTAATTATTTTACTAATACTTACTATTGTTTAAATTATATTTAAATTATTGTTATACTTATTGACTCATATTTTAAGCCATTTTTCTCTTATCTCTTAATTATTTGTTAAGTTCAATTCGATCTGCCAATGTTTTCATTAATGGCTCACTATCATCTGGCATTAATTATTTTAAAATTGAAGCAACTATTTCAAAAGTGCTTTGATTTATTTATGTTTGTTTTCTTATATTTTCTAATAATTAGATTGCAAATAAATGTGATTAGATGAATAATTGATTTTAAGAATAATTATGAAATCTTTTTACAACACCAGTGAGTGAAAAAATGGCCTCATTATCAATCAACTCAATATTTGCATTTATTTTCAGCATTTATTTGAGTACTTAAAATAATATATCTAGAAATTCTAAGAACTACTCATCATCAATTTCATATAAATTAGTATCTGTAATTTCTACATCAAGATTATTATAATTAATTAATTCTAACAATCTTTAACATATTTATTCCATTTAGTATTTTTAAATTTCATTTTGTTAATTCTATTGATTTGTATAATGAGCTTAATTCTATTATTAAGATATATTTTTTAAATCATTTAATCTTTAGACTAAAATTGGGGCTATTTCTCCTAGTTCTTATTCTGCATCAATTTAACTGCTTGCTTAAATAATTTTCTTGTAAAATTAATTCCACCAAGGATATTTAATGCAAAATCCTTTTAAATTTTCAACTAAATTTTTAATAGTTGTTCCAATTGTTAAAGGAATATTTCTTTATAAATCTTCTTATAATTTTGGAATTTCTTGTGCTTAAGTAGGTAATTAAAGATCATTTTAAATTATTTAATAATTCTATGACAATTGCTTTCTTTCATTATTTTCAAGTATTTATTGTAATATTACTTAGATTTCGTCTAACGAATAAACTTCTTTAATTATATCAGTTTTAGAACCTTATACTTCAAGAATTTAAAAAATTTTAGGAATTTCTTATGGAAATTTAGTTAATAAAAGTAAGGATATAGTTTTCATTTTTGCTATCCATTGATCTTTAGGTATAGTTTTACTAAAAGAGCCTAAAATGATATTAATATCAAATTTGCATGATTTAATTAAACTGTGAGTTCTACAATCGTAAACAGAACTTGAATCAATAATAATTATTGGTTACATAAAATAAAAAAAAGATGGAAAAAAAGTAAACTAAAATAATTATTTGAATAAAATCCTGTTTATATTTATTTAAAATATTTAAAATTTATAATTTCATATTCTAAATCCAGATTGATAACTTGCATTTGGTTATCCTTGCTTAATAAATTGAGAATCTCCTTATTTTAATAAAAGCCCTTTTGGAATAAATTCGCCCACTTATTATAAATGTTCTTAAAGAATACGATTTTTTTCTTCTTCTATAACTTACTATTTATAAGCTTCTTCTCTTCTTTTTCTTTCTAATTATTCGAGTTCTTTTTGCTTTTCCAATTAATACATTTCCAATTTCTTTTGCCATAATTTTTCAACTTCTTTTTTGTGTTCAATTTCTTTCATTCTTCTTTTTTATTATCCTAATTATTCAAGTTTATCATCTTCAGCAAACTTTTTCATCATTTAATCTCTAAAATCTCTTTCCATTTATTATTCTTCCTCTTTTTATTTTTATTTTCTTAATCTTGCTTCCTGTTCAGCTTATTACATCTCTCTTTTTTAATATTCTCTTTTATTAGCTTCATCAATATCTTTTTATCTTTATTATGCATCATACTATTCTTGATAAAGTTAAAATCTGAGTTCAGTTAATAATTCAGCTTCTTATCTTCTTCTTTCCTCTTCTTCCTTCAATTTTTAAAAGATTTTATCTCTAAATAATTTTAAAATTTATATTTACTTAGCTGCATTTTCTTCTTATTTTTTTACTTTAATTTCCTGAGCTTATCTATCTTTTTCTTTCATAAAATCTAAATATTTTTGATTCTCTTCTCTCTCTTTTTATTTTAATCTTTATATTAATTCTGCTTTTTCTCTCAAAGCATTTTGCATGTCTGAGAAAGCAATTTTCTTCTTTTTTGCCTCATCCTCTAAAAACTTACGATCTTCATGAATCAATTATTATATAACTCTATTGACTTATTCCTTTTCATAAATATATTATTCCTTTGCTTCATCTCTTAATTATTCATGTTCTTTCATTTATTTTTATAATGTCTATTCATGATTATGAATTCATATACATATTTCCCATCTAATCTCTATTAAAGTCTAAATCTTTCTTTGTTTCTTTCCTCTTCTTATTCTCTTTTCAGTTTCTCAAGAATAGCTGCTTCAATCTCACTTTCTTATTTCTATTTTGAAAATATAACTGACTAAAAATACCAACTCTTAAATTCTTCTGAGTTACTATTCAGCTAATTATTAAGTTCTCTCTTTAGTCACATATGCTGTCTAAACTTTTTATTTAAGTAGTTTGATTTCTTCACTCTCTGCGCAAATTCTCTCAATTTCTCTTCTTTTTTTTTCTTCTTCAACTTTACGTTTTTACAATTCTCTAGCCAATTAATCTTCTAAAGAATATGGGTCTGTTATTGGATTTCTATTTGAGTTATGAATCATTAATAATATTAATTATAATATTTCATTTTATACACCTGCTTGAATATGTGTGAGCTCATTATCATTTGAAAAAGTTTCCTAATTCTCTATGAAAATTACTATTCTATAATTGCAAAATTATGATTCTCTAACAAGACTTTAAATTATTAACTTTTAGTTTTGTTCATAAATCTGATTGCTCATACTTTTTTATTTTATTCAAATATCATAATAGAATTCTTTATTGACAATTTTATTAACAACTTCCTAGATGGATTTATATATTTTTATAAATAATCATTCTGACTAATTTTTTATTGAGAGTTTGAGCTAGCGTATTAGAAATGGAATAATTTAATTTATTTACTTTTAATGAAATCATAACAAAATCGTCATGTATTATAAATTTATGAGAATAACCATATATAATAAGGGGACAGTTTCATAATTTATCACTAGTCTAAAAAAATTAAATAAATTTGAAGACTTTAAACTTAAATGGCTAATTAAGAGCATAAAATAGTGAATATATGGAAAATATATATCAATTCTTCAATTAAATATGTTTAGCCAAATATAAATTAGAAAAATAACATAACATAAAAGGAAGACTACTTATCAATTTTACTGTTTCAGCGAATAAAAATGCTAACAGCATTTTAATCATATAAATAATTCTAAGATTAATATGATATAATTTAAAAGAAAATAAATTCTTGAAACATTGGAAAAGATTGAGATATTAGAAGTATTTTCGTTTTGAGATCTGGGAAAACATATAATAGCTTAATTAATTTATATTTATATCTTTAATCTTAATATAAAACAAATTATATTCTTATAATTATTATATTTGAATTGAAGCAATTTTACATAAGCAAAGAAATAGAAGTTAGTGCTAATTTTTTTGCCCACCATCCAAAATACATTTCTAGCTTTCTAGACTAGATGAAAAATAGGTATCAAGAAATTTCTAAAAAGATTCATAGTAAAAAGAAATTATAAATAAGCAAATAAAAAATACAGAAAAATATAAATTGATAATTTAATTGACTTAAATAGAATAGAACCCAAAAATCTTGAGATGGTTGAGAAAATGTGATTAAGAGACCTAATTGTTTGTCAAACAGTCCCTATATCTCCTAATGTAAGAAAAGACTTAGAAATTTAATTTATTTTTAATAATTAATATTCTTATTAATAATTATTAAGTTTAATGATATTTAAAAAATTTTTAAAATAATCTTAATCAATCAAATGATATTAAAATTACAATAAATAAATTTATTCTAAAAATTAATTTTAACACAATAAAACAATATTTTATCTCACTTTTAAATTTTGATAGTAGTGTAGTAGTTTATTGCAATTTGTTCTTGGGTGAATACTCCTAAAAATTTATTTAATAGCATAAATTGAGGTCTTGATAATTATTTAAAATCCAAGATTACTCTCTGATACTTTCAAAATTTCTAAATAAAGAATGACTAATTGCTTCAATTTTCTAAATCATATATCATATTGTGCATAAAAGGATTTCCTGTCTAAATGTTAAGTAATTCTATTATTTTAAGATGACAATATATTCTTACACAAAAGAAGATTATTTTATATACTTTTAGATCTCTATGCTGTATATTAAATTCATAACAATTATTTGATCATATTTTTAGTTCTTCTTACTATTCACAATCTTTTAATATAACACTATCATGAGCATATTCTGTACTAAATTAAAAATTCATTAGCATACCATAATCAATTACTAAGAAAAAAAATGAATAAAAGTTACTTTATAATTGTTAAAATTCTTTTGCTTCACTGTTGCTAAAATTAATACCTCATTTCTTTGTTATTTAAATTATACAATTTAATTTTCTTCTAAAATAAAGCTTCTTTAAAAGATTTCAAGATTTTACTTTTTTTAATTATTGTTAAGATAACTTTATTAAATGAATTTAAAAAAATCAAAATTCAATTATTTTGGTATTTCCACCAAAATATCTTAATTTAGCTTAAATAGTTAAATCTTATGTCATTTACATTTAAAATAGAGTGCATTGTAATTTAGGGCCTTAAAAAACAGTCCCTTAATATATAAGATCTACTCCAACAGCATCGCTAAAATAATTAACAAAATTACTTATTTAGGCCTAAGTATTATAAAATGTTTTCAATGAGATTAGACAAAGTCTTATAAATTGAAAAAATATTAGAAAATTGTCTCTTTATTATACCATCTTAAATCTCAAATGATATTTAAATACTATCCTAATTCAGTAGCCTTTTTGGGCTTTAATTTTGTAGAACAGGACTCTAATTTTAAATTTGATGGTTTTAATTTTGTATAACAGGACTTTAATTTTATAATTGATGGTTTTAATATTGTATTACAGGACTTTAATTTTATAGCTGTTAGTTTTAATTTTTTATAGCAGGACTTTAATTTTAAATTTGATGGTTTTAATTTTGTATAACAGGACTTTAATTGTATAGCTGTTAGTTTTAATTTTGTATAACAGGACTTTAATTTTATACCTAATGGTTTTGGGGGTTATAATTTTATATTTGATGGTCTTAATTTTGTATTTGGGCGCTCTAATTAAAAGGTTGTTTTACATTTTAAAAATCTTTTTGAAATTTCATTTATTCATAAAAATTTTAAACAGAATTATTAATTAACGATGGATCTTTGAAATCTATAATCGAATTGTTAATTAATTTAGCTTATCTAATGGTCAGATTTGAATTTATTTATGATAAATTGATATCCCCAAAAAACATTTCTACTTCACTCAAATATAGTATTAATTTCTTACCCATCAATTTAAAAATCTTGTAAAGTCTATGCGTATAATTCGTCCAAATAACTATCAAGTGATATCTATTTTTGTTTTTCATGCTATTAATACTTAAGTGTGATATTTCTATATATTATAATTATTTCAATTTTTACATAATTTAACTTTATTATTGTTAATAATCCTAATTTTATTATTGTTAATGATTCTAAATTTAGTTATTTTAAAATTGATTTACTTTTTAGGGATATTGATTTTGTTATAATGCATTTTATATTGGTTATTAATCTTATTGATTGTAATATTAGGCATATTAGTTTTATTATTAAACTTATTAAGTAATTTTAGGTTGAGTATTTTACGCATATGTTTATACATTTTTATCTGTTTATTAATTCATTTACGCATCGTTCTTATTGTTTTAAACATTTTAGTCTTAGAAATAATTCTAAGCCTAAGTTTAAGGAGGAGCAAAAATAGAATCAGCGGAAGGAATATTAAGATTATTCTACTTTTTAATCAACTTTATCTTGGCTTATTTCTAATCTTATAATATGGATGATATTGTTTATTCATTATTTTGCACAGAGTTTATTTAATTTGGCCAAAATATTGTATAGTTTTTTAATTATAACGAAGGATATTTACTAAAAAAGATTAAATGATGACAATATACTCTTTTGTGTTTGCTTAGATAAAATCTAATAGCTCTTAAACAGTAGTATCGCTCTCTATATCAATAATTAGTGTTTGATTAATGAATTCAATTTCAAGTTTATATAAGTCCATCTAATTTCTATTATAATTATTAATAAATTAATCTTAAACAAAATCAAAATTATAGAGAGAGTTTTATAATCATTAATTCATTTAGGTATAAAATACAACTTATTTGATACTACTGTGAAATTTATATAATAAAATGTCACTAATTAAAAGTAGTAACATTTTTAGATATTTATTCATAAATAAATTTTTATTTTGTAAAAAAAACATTAGAGATGTATAATCAGCCCAACATATCATACACTAATACAAATAGTTTGAATCGTTAAGAATTATAAGAGTTTAGAAACTATGTTCGCAAGACTGCCTAAGCAAAAATGGATGGTACAGAAGAAAAGTAAAGATAAATTGCAAAAACTTTTCATTTAGATCACAAAAATTTGATGTCATTAAATTAAAGTCCCTTATAAAGTAAGAAGTTACACGTTGATCATGATATATCATAACATCATCATTTAGCATCCTTATCAGATTGGAAGAAATTTGATAGATCTACATCTTAAAGTTTTGTTACCTTTGATGCCAATACTTGGAAAGAAGATTAAAACAGTATGAGATAAAGAAAGCTACAAACTCCCTCTTTAAATGCATCTGATTTGATTAAAGTCAATAGAACACTTTCAGGATTAAGTTCAAAAGAAATCTAAAACTTAAGTGGCCAATATTATCACTAAATTTAAGAATTAGAACACACAGTAAGCTCAATGTTAAGAAGAATAGATTTCATTCAAGCTTCCAAATCAAATTATTGAACATATTATGATGATAATATATTAACATTGTTAATAATAAAATTATTTCTTGAAATCTTTTATTGTAAATCCCTAAATATAAATTCAATTCTTTTAAAGTAATATATTTCATTAATAATTTTTTAATAAAATAAAATATGGAAAGAACTTGCTTACTTCCAGAACATTAAGGTTTTGGTTCTTAAATTATTGGTTTTTGTGTCACAGAATGTTGTCGAAAGCCATCCAGAGCACTTTGTTTTAAATGTATGACTGGACCTGGACACTAAGGACATTAATTGATCTAAGCATAAGAAGAAAATGCATTTTTAGCACAACCCAATCGAATTTTCACTGAGATCAACTAAAAATTAGAATTGATGATAAGATAATTTTCGAAAGGTATTAAATATTTATAGGGGATTTTGCAAAAGAATTATTAACCTTAACCTTTGAGTAATTTTGGAAATTCAGAAATAACAGAAAAGATAAATTGTATTTTAAAGTTAGAGACAGTTTAAAAATTAATAAACGATAGATTAGATAATATTTTTGAGAATACATTAAAATAAATAAAAATCACTTGTCAAGATTTAACATTGGGAGAAGAATTTAAAAGTAAAAAAAAATATATTAAAACTAGGTTATGAATTTTTGTAACATTAGAAATATTAAGAAGCTTCACAATTAATTAATTAATGTTTTTAGAGAGGTAATAGAAATACATTTTTGAAGTTAGCTTAAGGTAATTGAAATATATGTATATGTAGCTGAAATTTTTAAGGTTTAGGATTAATTTTAAGATGCTCGAGCAATTTATTTACAATTACTTTAGGAAGATGATTCAAATCCTTGGGCTTACTTTGAAAATAGTATTAATAATTTTAATAGAATTAGATAAAATGTTAAATTAGCAAGAACGGAGATGAATGTTTATAATCAGAATTTATCATTAATAATAATTATAAGTTTTTCAATGTCAGATTCATAATATTTCCAACAATCATCCCAAAATACTTGGACAAAACCCAATTTAGTTTTTAACTCAAAGGAAGCTATATTTCCAATGAGATGTTTAGTTTTCTTCTTATTTTTTATTGCCAATGATTAATCATATTCAAATTGTTTCTCTTTAGATGCTAAGCTATTTAATCTTTCAGAAGTATGTTTTGTATAAACAAATTATAAAGTGTATGAACATTTCATTTATTACATGGTAATATGATCACGTCTTATCATATCAATTAATGATTATTTTTCATTCTCATCTAACAAATAATCATTCCTATTAAAAATAATATTATATTTTCCATCTTTTACTTCTTTAGCCAGAAATCTCTTATAATATATACTATTATCAATTGTAATCCATCCAATTATATTCTATTTAATTAAGCTATTTAGAACTGATTGATGTGACCATAATTCTTATTATAATGGATAATGTAATTTCAATCTATTCAATTTGAATGCTAAAGTATAATAATTATCATTTAAACAATAAGAATGAATTGCAAATATTACAGGTATAAATATACCAAGTGCACATATATATTCCTAATCCAATCTTTACCATAATAATTATATTCCACCTCCTTTAGTTAATTATCTTTTCTAATCTCTAGTAATAAATTCACATGATATTAAATTATCATGAGTAATAAATAATGTTCCTTCTTATGGTAATTATTTATATCTTAAATTGTCATTGTTAAAAGATAAATTCAATGAATTTTTAATGTGTTTTAAATTTACACCAAAATATTCTCTTAATTTATAACTCAAAATATCCTAACCATAAGTTGTTATCAATATATGGTTATTCCTATTTAATGGAATATAACGCTATTAAATCTTATTAAATTAATAATAAGTCATATCACTATTCTAACAATACTAAAAATCTTCAAACATGTCATAACTTGCTTATAATAATAATAACAATTCATTATGTCCTTTATGTTCAATAATATTCTATATTTCAATTTATTAAATTTTGGCAAAGTCTTAAGGTGTTGATTATCTAAAATCATATTACTCTAATGATAAAGTGAATTAACTTTATTGTTATTATTATTATTAATATAACTTAATCCCAATAATATCTTATTCTTAAGTCTAAATATCAATATTCTAATAAAATTTTGATTAATTATTATCATCATTATTTTCATTCTCCTTTTTTAACAGTCTCTCCTATAATACACATGTTTTAGATTTAAACAAATATTTTACATGTCGATGAATAATTGGCTCATGCAATCGAATTATTGTCATTATCAATGTTATTCCCCCTTGAACAAATGCTAATACATTTATTAGCTATTTATTATTCTAATTATAATTTAAAATTATTGGCTAATATAGAAACTGTTCTATACAATTAATAATCTTGATATTATGAAAAGCCACCCGTAACTTACATTTACTTTTATATAAGTTTGTAAGTATTTCCTTATAAACTTATCCATCGCTGTCTTGTATATCTCAGTTTACAATATATCAGGCGAATATCTTTATAATTTTATCAATATTATCGATATAATTATCAATGAAAAGCCTCTTAAGTATACTAAAAAAACAGCAAACACATTCTAAGACTCTAAATTGCAATCTCCTAAAATGCTTGTCACTTTATAAAAAATACCTAACACCTAAATCTTGACTTAGCAAAACCAATAAAATTGAGATTATTATTATTAAAGTCACGGCTAACATTGTTTCACCTTTCAATTTAAACTTTTTGTAATTCTAAACATTTATTTAACAATATAGATTAGCTATTAATAATATGTTTAAAATTGCATATAGCATTGAAGCTATTAAATTAGGCACAGCTATTAATTTACAACTTATATCTGAAATTGTTATTGTCATGTTTGATTGATTTGCCTCTCCAACTACATAAAATTGACCAAAAACCATAAACATACTCATTATCTATTATAACATAAATTTCTTATACTGTTTGTGATAATAGGATCCAAAATAGAATCTATCCTGGGTTATGTCTTAATCGTTTAACTCTCTATTAAACAATCATTAGTATCACACTTAACACAAAAATTATTATGTATATTAAGCTTAAAGCTATAATTTTTAACATTTAATATTAATCTATTTCTAATTTAAATTCTTATTAGTTTCACAATTAATGCTTACTATTTTAAATAACCATTTGAACCACTGAATAAGCCCTGAAGATTACGATTTAACTAATTTCAAATCATTTTCTCATAAATAAATAAAGAATATAACTTGACTTAATTATTATTTTTAATCTTATAAGATCAAAAATAAATATAATTTAAAATACCTGAAATGTTTATTTAAATAGTCCCACATTTTAATTTACAAATTATATGATTCATTCAAAAAGGATTTGTTTATTGTAATCTTGATTTTTATTATTTATACCTTTTTAAATTTTAATAGCAATTCTAATGATAAATTAGCTGTTGCATATTTTGCTAGCTTGTTAACGTAGTTAAAAAAACAAATAATAAGAATTAAGTGTGAAGATAGCTAATATCTTTTAATTTATTTTTTCTTTAGAAATTCAATTTATTATTGTATATTCTTGTAGGAATTTCAAATATTTAAAGGAATTAATCATTAATCTAGTGAAACTTCATTACTTCTTAAATTGATACCCATTAATGCGGATAAAATATTATTAAATATTTGTTAAAGAAATATTTTTTATAGTTTATTAAAATATAATTTGTAAATAATATTAATTATCATTCCAATAAAATAGAGATTATAAAATTAACAGGATACATTCTTTTATTTATAAAAGCAAATATAATTAAAAATTGCTCTTCCAGTGATACTAACTTGCACAATCCACTAACTGTTTGATCTAATTTATAAATAATTTATATTGCAATTCATCCTCAATATAATAATTAATGGTAAAGTTTATTGAGTTTGAATTAAAGCCATTTTTTGCAGTGATATTAAAATGTTGATGATCTTGAGCACCCTTATTAATCAATATTCATTTTGTTTATTCCAAATAAAAACTTGATTTTAATTCTTATATGATATAGAAATAATGTTGTTACCAATATTATATCGCTAAGTTTCTCAAAACCCATAATAATTTATTATGAATTCTAAAGAAGGATAAGAATTATGAACAAACATTATTCTTATTCCATAAGATCCAGCCTAATTAGTTATTAAAAGCAAACATAAACTCTGAAAAATTTTTTTAGGATGAAATGGTTTCTTAATAAAAATGAAGGATGCGTCACTTNAATCTTATATTGTCAATATTTTTAATGTCTTATTATTAAACTAATAATAAAGTAAAAGGATCAAGTATAAGATCAAAAATAAATATAATTTAAAATACCTGAAATGTTTATTTAAATAGTCCCACATTTTAATTTACAAATTATATGATTCATTCAAAAAGGATTTGTTTATTGTAATCTTGATTTTTATTATTTATACCTTTTTAAATTTTAATAGCAATTCTAATGATAAATTAGCTGTTGCATATTTTGCTAGCTTGTTAACGTAGTTAAAAAAACAAATAATAAGAATTAAGTGTGAAGATAGCTAATATCTTTTAATTTATTTTTTCTTTAGAAATTCAATTTATTATTGTATATTCTTGTAGGAATTTCAAATATTTAAAGGAATTAATCATTAATCTAGTGAAACTTCATTACTTCTTAAATTGATACCCATTAATGCGGATAAAATATTATTAAATATTTGTTAAAGAAATATTTTTTATAGTTTATTAAAATATAATTTGTAAATAATATTAATTATCATTCCAATAAAATAGAGATTATAAAATTAACAGGATACATTCTTTTATTTATAAAAGCAAATATAATTAAAAATTGCTCTTCCAGTGATACTAACTTGCACAATCCACTAACTGTTTGATCTAATTTATAAATAATTTATATTGCAATTCATCCTCAATATAATAATTAATGGTAAAGTTTATTGAGTTTGAATTAAAGCCATTTTTTGCAGTGATATTAAAATGTTGATGATCTTGAGCACCCTTATTAATCAATATTCATTTTGTTTATTCCAAATAAAAACTTGATTTTAATTCTTATATGATATAGAAATAATGTTGTTACCAATATTATATCGCTAAGTTTCTCAAAACCCATAATAATTTATTATGAATTCTAAAGAAGGATAAGAATTATGAACAAACATTATTCTTATTCCATAAGATCCAGCCTAATTAGTTATTAAAAGCAAACATAAACTCTGAAAAATTTTTTTAGGATGAAATGGTTTCTTAATAAAAATGAAGGATGCGTCACTTAAAATAAATAAATTAAATTTTTTTATAAGCTCCTTTGCATCAAAAGTTTAAATATTGAATACTTCATAAGTCGTATTCCACTAAAAATAACTACTATTCCACTTATGTCAAGTATTTAAATTATAAATTCATTTTTATCTATTTCAGTAACATCAAAAATCAATTGCTTTAAATGGACTTTTAACTTAAATTTATTTAATTAAAATGCTGGATAAAAAAATTTCTATTTTTTTATAAAATTTTGTCTATTTCTTAATTTTGAATAAATTAAGAATAAGATTTTATTTAATTTTTTTAGTAAAAGCATCAAATTAATATAAAAACTATCTTTTACTTTAGAAATGTGGAGATATGAAATTGTTAAATTATTGTAAAATTTATAAGACAAGTCTAAATCTTTTATAGTTTAAATATAATTAAATAAAGGTTGAAAAGCTAAATTAATTAGGGATATTATTTCAAATTAAGAATATAGTTCCAAAAATTTGGAGGTTCCTTATAAAATTTTGGTATAATAACTTATAGATGTTAAACGCCCATTAGGTAATTAATTCTCTGTTTTATCATAGATATTTTCTATTCATATTTCTAAAGGTAAACTTAATTTTATTCTTAAAATTTCTTCTCAAGAAATTTAATCAATGTATATGTATGTATTTATTTTATTTATTAGTTTAATAATCCTATTATTATAAATTTCAATTGCAGCTGTAGTTTCTTATTTAAAATTTTTTTTAAATATTAAATATTATATAATATAATTAAAGTTTCATATATCATTTTAAGTATTAGCTCATTAAAATACATCAAAATATAAAAGTATTATTCAAAGCTAAAGTGAGAAATTCAGTAATCTTTGTATTTTAAAACGGATTCTTTCAATATTACACAAAAAAAAGGTTAAAAAGGTGATGATCCTATAAATTTAAAATTTTTATAATTTTGATAAGTAATATAATCTAAATCAAAATATTTTTATGAAAAATTATAAAAAGAATTCATCATCTGTAATTAATTTCTTAAAGAATATGAGCTTAAGTATTAAATTAATAAACTAGTATTTCTTATTATTCAGTTTAAATTAATAAATAATCCTTATATTATTTGATATAAATTGGTAAGTAAGTAATTTAGGTATTAAAAAAATACTTAATTATAGTTAGTTCAAATAGTATGTTATCTTTAATTAAAATAAAGGTTTAGTCTGATACAATTATATATTAGTCGTTTTTGTTTATTTTTATATTTAAATAATATTTGATATAAAAGTCAATAAATATCAGTTTAATTAAAGTAGGATGGTCATCTTCAAATTTGAATAAACCCTAACTTTAATCAAGGAAGTTAATCACATTGTTATTTAATATTTTGTATTAAAAGAAATTGATTCTTAAGATGGAAATAACTTCTAATTATTTAATTACTTATTTAAGTCGATAAATTCAAATTAGATTAGTTCTATAAATTGCTAAAACACATAGACTTTATCTTAAATTAAGATGTATTTAAATTAATTTATGGATTAGAATATATTATATTCACAGAAATGAAAATTCCCGCCATATATGCAAATTAATAGATTTATTTATGATTATTATTGAGTAATAGTTTAAAACTAATGGGATATAAGTTTGTTCTGGTAATTAAAATTTCTCATATACATTGAATGATTAGATAATTTTAGAATATAAGATTACGCTATAAATTATTTCCAAAATATCACTTCTGATAAATTTAGTCTAATTGTTGCATTTTCTGTGATTAGATATACAAGTGTTTCTAAAAAGAGGGCTATGATAAAAGAGTTAAATATAATAAAATTTATGCAAACAAACATAATTTATAGAATATAATTATATATAAAAGTTTAAGTTTAAACTTCTAAGTAGCAATAAAATTATATATATTTAGGATTGGAAAGTTGAATCAATGTTATCTATTACAAGTTCCTTATAAAGTATTATACAAATGATATATTTTTTTTCTAGAAATCTTATAAATAAAATTATTGTCTAAATTCTTTATTTTAATTTAGTTTGAGGATGTTCAATTCAAATTAGTTTGTTAATGTATCTATAATATTAGTTGATGGAAATAAACAATAGAATTATAATTTGGGAGACCTTGATTTAAATACATAGATTAAGTAAATAGAAGATCATATGAGATATTTACTATAATTAAAGTAAAGGTCTAATTAAATAATTATAGTTTATATTGTGGTATTTGTTTCGATATAAACAGCAGAAGAATTGCTACAAACCTAAGTCTGAATTAAATATTGAATAAAAGTCATGGGATGAAAGAAATAGTTTTAAGAATGAAAATCTAGTATTGATATAATTTTGGATTGAATATGTTAAACTGATATTTTTATTGTGAAATGAATCACTAATACATCATCAATCATTTAATATCAACTTTGTCCATCATCTCAACGAACTCAAGATAATCAATTTCTCCATCTTTATCCTAATCTGCTTCATTGATCAAATTTTACCATAGTTAAGGATCAGATTAACTGTAAATTTCATTATCTAAATAAATTAAGACATTTATAAAAATACTTCCTAAACACTTTTTTAATTCATCACTGCTAATTTTACCACTTCCATCAGCATCAAACATTTTGAAAGCTTAAATTAGTTTCTCTTTTTTCATATACATATTTCTTTCCATAGTTGCAGCAACAAATTCTATATTGTTTTTAAATATAATACCAGTATAATTTATGACACCATTACAATCAGTGTCTATAGACTTTAAAATTTGTATCACATCACCCCAACTCTCCTATTAAAAATTATGTAATCCTTTTTTAACTTCTTCTAAAGTAAGAATTCCATCTCCATTTTAATCTAATTCTTTAAATAATTTCCCTAATTCTTAAATTTCTACTTCTGATAATTATGATGCAATATAAGTTAAAGTTACCTTGTTATATATATATTATTATTTTACTTTCTTTAATTTATTTGAAGCACTAAATCCTTTGAATGATTTAAAATCCAAAGTTAAAATAGAATGAGGAATATCTACTGTAGTCAACCAAGGATGCTATAATACTTATCCAGCTGTTAATCTTTAATCAGGTTTTGTTAACATTTTTTGAATCAAATCTTTAACATTGTTTGAAACTCCATTCAATTAAGGAATGTCTAATTTATAGATCCCTGATTTAACAGCTTTTAAGATTTCAGCATCAGTTCTTCCATTAAAAGGAGGTAATCCAGTTAATAAAATATATAAAATGACCCCTGCTGACCAAACATCACAAAGCTCATCATATTTCCCATCTAATACTTCTGGTGATATATAATATGGCTAATATTTATATTTAAATAATATACTGTTCCAGCTTTTGATTTCATTTAAGTCTTTCCATCTGCTGTTTTGTAATGACTATCATGAAATAAAACACTAAGACCAAAATCTATTACTTTTATTGGAGCATTAGGAGTTTTATCAAGCAATAAAAAATTCTCAGGTTTTAAATCTCTATGACATATACCATGAGTATGACAATAATTTATAGCCTACATTATTTATAAAAATGTTTGCTAAGCTTCTTTTTCTGTAAAATGACCTTTCTCAATTATTGTGTCAAATAATTCTCCTCCTGTACATATTCTTTTTATATATATTATATATCTACTCCATAACTAAATAGATATTCCTAGAATCTTCAAAGCTTTCAAATAATTTAATAATATTTGGATGATCCTATTTGAATTCTATAATCTAATACTAAGTTTTGCATTATTTCTATTTCTCTCTTAAATCTATCTGGACTTGCAATCATCTTTTTTGGAATCATTTTTATTGCCCTTTCAAATCCCAAATCCTTATGTTTAGCCTTAAATACTCTTCCATAAGCACCAGAACCCAATTCCTAATTATATTTATTTATTGCTTTACTTTCTTATCAGATTCATAAATATCCTCAATTCTCTCTGGTCTTGATTTTATTAACCATTATTTCTTAATTAATAATTAGTTGTCCATTATAAATATTTTAAGATATTTAATTTATTAAATTAAAATCATTTCTAAGTGAGAATAATAAATATAAAGTCTAATTATTTATTAATGATTGAATATTTATTAGTAAAATAGTGAAAATCATGTTGAATTATTAATTAATAATAATAAACATAAATACATGGAGAGCGTACTTAGATTTTATAGTCTTAATGATTCAATTAATTAATTAAAACAATAATCCTGTCATAGAAGCTTTCCTCAATTATATATTAGCGAAAATAAATTGACTTAAATAATTTCGCAACAGTATGATAACCCTATACAATATAAGCCGATGCCTTTCGAGATTGTATCATTAAGTGAAATAAATGATCAAAAAGAAGAATCATCAATCATATAAAAAGAATAGACTTTAATATTAAAAAATGAATTGCAAACTCCATAAGAATTAAATTTATAATTAAAAGCTAGAAAATGCATGAATCTCTTAGAAGGGTAAAATAAGCATGAAAAGGAACAATAAATAATGAGTATATTAGAAATAATAAAATCAATATTAAATGGAAAAAAAGAACGGACAAATTAAAGGTTAAAGAAAAAAAAACTAATATAAACAAATAAATCTCCTTAATAAGCAATATAATTTCTAAAATCCTTATGTAAAAATAAAATCATATGTTGAAATCTTAAACTTGAACTATATAAATAGTGTCTTAATGTTAAAAAACATCTTTAATTAATCTGCTATCAAATTCTAGGCTTTAAGTTTCCCATTAATAACACTGCTAAGTTCGATTGATCTTATCCTATTTCCTTCTTCAGATATAATTAGGTTTTGAATCTATTGATTATGATTTCTTTACTATTATTTTTATTTTTAAGTAATACTAAAGTTATCATTTCATGTACAANATTTGGATGATCCTATTTGAATTCTATAATCTAATACTAAGTTTTGCATTATTTCTATTTCTCTCTTAAATCTATCTGGACTTGCAATCATCTTTTTTGGAATCATTTTTATTGCCCTTTCAAATCCCAAATCCTTATGTTTAGCCTTAAATACTCTTCCATAAGCACCAGAACCCAATTCCTAATTATATTTATTTATTGCTTTACTTTCTTATCAGATTCATAAATATCCTCAATTCTCTCTGGTCTTGATTTTATTAACCATTATTTCTTAATTAATAATTAGTTGTCCATTATAAATATTTTAAGATATTTAATTTATTAAATTAAAATCATTTCTAAGTGAGAATAATAAATATAAAGTCTAATTATTTATTAATGATTGAATATTTATTAGTAAAATAGTGAAAATCATGTTGAATTATTAATTAATAATAATAAACATAAATACATGGAGAGCGTACTTAGATTTTATAGTCTTAATGATTCAATTAATTAATTAAAACAATAATCCTGTCATAGAAGCTTTCCTCAATTATATATTAGCGAAAATAAATTGACTTAAATAATTTCGCAACAGTATGATAACCCTATACAATATAAGCCGATGCCTTTCGAGATTGTATCATTAAGTGAAATAAATGATCAAAAAGAAGAATCATCAATCATATAAAAAGAATAGACTTTAATATTAAAAAATGAATTGCAAACTCCATAAGAATTAAATTTATAATTAAAAGCTAGAAAATGCATGAATCTCTTAGAAGGGTAAAATAAGCATGAAAAGGAACAATAAATAATGAGTATATTAGAAATAATAAAATCAATATTAAATGGAAAAAAAGAACGGACAAATTAAAGGTTAAAGAAAAAAAAACTAATATAAACAAATAAATCTCCTTAATAAGCAATATAATTTCTAAAATCCTTATGTAAAAATAAAATCATATGTTGAAATCTTAAACTTGAACTATATAAATAGTGTCTTAATGTTAAAAAACATCTTTAATTAATCTGCTATCAAATTCTAGGCTTTAAGTTTCCCATTAATAACACTGCTAAGTTCGATTGATCTTATCCTATTTCCTTCTTCAGATATAATTAGGTTTTGAATCTATTGATTATGATTTCTTTACTATTATTTTTATTTTTAAGTAATACTAAAGTTATCATTTCATGTACAAGTTATATTTTAAAATTTAACAAATAACTTAACCTTTTTTATAATAATTTAGTTCTTTGCTTATTAATCAGCAGGTATCTAATATAATTCATAAGAAGAATTGTAATATTATTTTATGATTTGTGATAGAAATACATCAATTAAATCTTAAAATAGATCTAATTCTTCTAATGTGCACTCAAAAAATAATCCTTCTTCTGAAGAGATTTTTTTAAATTATAATATTTTAGGTTAGGTATTACATAAGATTAATAATATGTATGATCAATAAATTTTTGATTATCATTTATTAAGATTTCATTATTACAAGAAATGTGAATCAAATGAGATTGTTACAAATAGTTCTCTTTAAATCTTTCATTTTGTTTTTTTTCTTAAGAAAGATTAACATAAATTTGTAATCTCTCAATCCATATATGAATATTAAACTTAAAGCATTTTAAAAAAATAAATTAATATAAATTCATTTTGGACTCTCTGCTTTTGTCTCATCAAATTACTACAATGATTAAAAGTTACTTGAACTTTATCTTTTATTATTTTATAGTGAAAATTGATCTATAATTAATTATGAGAATATTTTCTTTGTATATTTGTTTCCATAGTTTTAAGATGCAGTATAGTCCTCTTATTTAAATTTTGAACTTGAATTACTTGATGAATCTCCTTATTATGATAATTTTCCTCTATATGTATCAAATTCTTTAGCTACTCTTTAAAATATTGTTGATGATTTTTTCATTTATAATTTTTTGATAGCTTCATCAATCTAATTTTATAATTCATTTATATCAGACTATTTAATGAGATGTCCATATGGTAATTTTACAAGTCTGATATAAAAGATTATATTAACATATAAATTCTTGTACTATTTTTCAAATAAATCACTCAATATAAAATTTTCTCCTTTAACATAAATAATATTCTCTAAATTTTTAATAATATGTATAGGATTGTAAATATCATACAATTCAGCTTCAATAGGATTTTCTTCTTAAAAAAATGTTATTTAAATTTTAGGTACAAATTCTTATCCACAACCTTAATTACTTTTAAGACATTCTATAGAATTCTCATATTAATTTTTTCTATAAGAATCAATTATTTCTTCAAAATGTAATTTTCTTTTACAAATTGGACATGCAGAATGTAAAGAATAGGCAGAACTAGTATAAACATTTTATGCTTCATCTCTTTATTCTTCTAATATAATTTCTTAATCTTATTATTTATCACTTGGTAATCCTTTTTAATTCATAGCCTAAGCTACAGCTTAAAAATAAACTCCATGTGTTGCTGGAGATGCTTCTAATTTGATTTCTTTCATGAATTTTACCAAGTATAAGGCTTTTGAATCCATTTAAAAATAACCACAAGATTCTAGAACATATCTAAACAATTTTTCAGTTAAATTTAGGTGTTTCTCTCTCATATATTCTAATATTAATATTGCCAATTCTGTCATTTATTAAAATACTTTATTATCCTGATTATTTCTAACATTAATTATAAAAATTAAGAACCAAATCTTATATATAATTTCCAATATATATTTAGGCCATTTTTATTGATCTAATTAAGGTATAATCTCTTATAGAATCTCTTAATTAATCTCCTAATTATCTATTAAATCATCCTTCATAATTTCATGATTCAATTATGGAAATTTATCATATTTATAAATAAAATCTGTAAGTTAATCTTCATCAGGTACTTAAATTTCAATAATTTATTTTGGCACTTAAAATTTTAATTTTTAATCTTTAGAATCAATGTATTTATCAAAAAATTAATATTAGGATTCATTTTCACTAAATTTTGTACGCTCTTATATAAAATATTGAAATATTCTAGTTTCCATAAATTATTATATAAATTTATCTTTTTTCCAATGATCATAATAACCTTAAACATTGAATATGTCAGTAAAATCACCTTCATTATTTGAATCCTTAAGAATATATTTTTTATATTGTTTCATAAGAATACTATTACATTCTAAAAATGCATTTCTTATTTAATACCAATCTATATTTTTATTGAATTCAGGATCATAATTGTCATCATCCATATAAATATGATAAGCTTAATCAACTCTTTTTAAATATTATTTAGAATAATCATCATTAAATAGATTTTAAAAAGGTTTTAAACAAGATTTAAGTTATTTTAATGCTTTTTCTGGTATAGGTGTTAAATTTTCACAATTTACAATAAAATTGGTATCCAAATAAACATATAAACTATCAACTTATGTATGTTGATTTTATTCAATAATATTCTTTTAACTATATCCAATTAAAAAAGGTACTGGAGCTTCAATATATCCTCTTAAACTATCAGGTAAAACAGGAATAAGAATTGATGTAAATTAAAAAGGAAATAATAACTATAAAAATGCATCAATCACTAATCCAGGTACTGATAAATGATTTGAAATAAAATGAATCTTCTTTTCCAATAAAATTGCACAGTATATATTAATTATTCTATTAATATCCAATAATCTGAATAAACATTCTAAAGCTTCATTATATCCAATGGGATATTTATAATTTGTATAAAAACATATATCATAGGAAGGTAAAACATATTTCAGACAAATGTTCTCTTATTCAAATATTTATTAAGGGAATTTAATCTTATTTATGATATTGCATATTGTATTTTCAATTGGTATGCTATTTTTAGAAAGAGAACATCTATAAATATATTTTATTAACTCTCTCATTTATTCAGGACAATTATATGAACTTAATAAGCATAATGCCTTAGGATAACATATTAATTATTCTTTATCTATATGTCCTAATTAATCTAAAATATCATTAGGTATTATTTCATGGAAAATTAAACAAATGCAATAAGTTCTTTTTCCAGTTTCAGATGTCAACACAAAATTGAAAATTTATTATCCCTTAGATATTGGATCTATTTCACTTTTTTCAAGGTAAATTCCTTATGGAAAACAAAACTAAACATATAGACTTTAAATACCATCGGAATCATAGTAATCATATGAGATAATGGACTATCATGATGATCAACTAAAGGATATCTATCAATAATTTTTGGCATATATGCTACTTTAAATGGAGATGATTCTTTATTAAAATATGTTTTATTTAATTACTTTGTTTAAATATGATAAAACGAATATTGCATAATGGAAATTGAATTGCGTGAAAATCTTTTGGGATTACAAGTCTCATGTCGCTGAATGAAGAGGTGTATTTCTTCTTATCAATTTTATCTGCCAATATTATTTAGATGTCACAAATAGGTTACTAATAGTTTTATTAGTTCTAAGTCTTATAACATAAAACTATGTGATAATTTTTTTTTTATTGCATATCTGTGTATTAAGAAATGTCATAAAATCCTTAATATAAGGAATACCCATTGTTAATTCCCTTAAATTGATGTGTTAGCTAATCGAATTTACGTTTAATTGGCACAGGATAAATGTCTTCTGTTAATGGTATTTTCTGTATTATTATTAAACTCTTATACTAATTCATTGTCTTCGATTTTCAATTCTTTTATTGTTAAAGATGTAATCGGTGATGAATTCTGATCATAAATACATCTCAACCACACTTGTTTATTACCACAAAGATCTATCCATTTTTCATTTTCTTTCATTGGAATATCTTCACTAAACTGACCTATCTATATCTCTAAAGATGTCAAAGTATGTTCTATCATTTAGAATCATTTTTAGTACATTTTTAAAATTCAGAATTCTAAGGGATTAATTTATGTCCTGTTCCTACTACACAAAAATAATTTATTATTCTTTTTGAAATATTCATATTTATATTTTTTATTTTCATTTCTAAATATGCATAAATATATTCATTAATTTATTTTACAATTACATTATTTAATTAATATATTATTCTAGCATCTATTATTCATAATAATAACTAAATGAATATCAAAATTATATAAAATACCAAAACCCTTAAAATTTCATTAAAACAACAAACCCTCTAACAAATACGAAAACAAATGCAAAAATATATCTAAAATAATTGTAAAATGAATTCCACCTAATTGAAAACTTTTTTAAATATTTAAAGAAATGGATCCTTAATAAATCTTTGATGAAACTAGCTTTCTCAAAATCAAACTTTATCATTAAATGAAATGGCAATCAATCAAATTTTGAATAAATCCTGATATAATAAATGATGATCTTTCAATTCTAAATTAGACTGATCTACTATCTTTAATTATCTCATATAAATGAAATATTTTAATAAATAATACAACTAAATTCAATTTTTAAATCCAAAAATATCATCAATTTTTTGAATTTCTATATTCGAGTCCACTTGTTATTTGGATATTACACTATTTATTTTTTTTAATCATCATTGTTATAATCTGAACAAGAGAAAATTAAGATGGAAAGCTTTTATTTTTGACATCTAAAACAAAAAAAATTAATTATAAGATTTATAATTTTAGCTTCCAATTTGCATAATTTTTACTAATATAGGAAATAAGATCTATGATAAAATGATATGATGGTTAGAATTTAAATCATTATATTAATGATGAGTGAGTTATTTCTTATGAAAATTTCATAAGCATCGATTATGATATTTTTATGAGTTTTTATAATTTATAAATAAATGAAAATAGGAGGTAGTCAAAAATAAATGTTTATAAAAAATAAGAGTAAACAATAAATAAAGGATAATTAAGAGTTAAGCAAAAGATAGAATGAATGAATAACTTAAACCTCAAATTCAAACCTTTATTAATTTGTTGATAATTAGAATGCTTTAAAGAGTGTGAGATAAGAAAGGTCCTTAACATCAATATTCTCCAAAATAATAATCAAAAATAAAATTATTTTGAGATGCATTACAAGAAGCAACAAAAAGTTGATACTTATAAAAAATACTTGATATATTTCTGGAAATAAGAATAAGGATAAGATTTAGAAACAGAAACCTCTTTAGGAATAATAGTAGTAATAGATTGGGAAGATAAATAAATGATATGAAGATTTAGTGTAAAATCATTATAAAGATTTATATACTTATAATGGGAATGAAAAATAAAA